ATGAAGGAATGAAAACCCAAAATCCCTGTAAATGTTCATTAAAACTAATAAAATTTAATAATAAAAATAAAAGAAGTGGTTACAATGCTATATGGGAATGGTCCCTATTAAACTAGCGAGGCAACTTTAATCTAGGCTGTTATCTTAAAATTTTTCACATAAAAGATTAAATAAACTAGTAAGAAAGGTTGAGGGAAAGAAATGCCAAACTACATGAAGATCACGCAGAAGCGCAAAAGAGACAAGGACCTTTCTCCAAAGCCAACAAAGGGAAAGAGGCGTCCTGGACCCAGCACCTTAAATTTGTAGTCTTGGTTTCCTGTGAGAAAGTAAATGTCTCTTGGTTAAAGCTATCCATTTGCTGCTTTTCTGTCAAAGCAGCATTACATAGCCCAGACAATGGGAATTCCTGAACACTTATTGTGCGCATGTGAACTCTGGAAACGCATCAAGCAGCAGCCAGTAGAACAGAGCTAGATGACAATGGGAGTCGCAAAATCGGAATAGGCATGTGGTAGGGTTGTCCTTTTACCACCTCTACTCAGTCTGCATGCTGAACAAATAATCTGAGAAGTCTGATTATATGTAGAATGCAGTATCAGCATAGAAGGAAGACTCATTAACCATCTACAATGTGCAAATGGTAAGGTAAAACCTTGCTTGCTGAAATGAAGACAGGCCAAAGCACTAACTGATGAAGGTCTAAGACTACAGCCTCAGTGTATTGAACCTGAAAATAAAGGAAAAACGTCCTCACAGCTGGACTGGTAAATACCATTATTATAAAAGAGAAAAATGTTACCAAGGATTCAATTCTATTTGGATCAATGATCAACACCCTTGGAAGCACCAGATAAAAAATCAAACAACATACTGTATCGCAGAAATCTTCAAGAGACTTCTATAAAGTACTAAAAAAGCAAAGATGCCACTTTGATGACTAAGGCTTATCTGACCCAAAGCAAAGTCTCTTCCATCATCTTATATGTGTACAATAATTTGGATAACAAAAAAGAATGATGAAAGAACTGATGCACTCAACTTTGGGTTTTTGGTAAAGAGTATTATATATACCAATTGACTGCTTAAATAATAAAATTAAATAAGTCTTAGAATAAATAAAATCAGAATATTTCTTAGAAAGATGATGTTAAGACTTTGAATGCCTTGCTTTTGAAACATCAGCACAAAAGGAACAGTTAGAAAAGTCTATCATGTTTGGTAAAATAAAGGGTCAGAAAAAATAAGGGCTCCCTCTATGAGAGGGACTGACACAACAGCTGTAATGAATTCAAACATCCTAACATTTGTGGAAAAGGCACAAGACTGGGAAACATTTTATTTTGCTCTACTCAAGAGAGCCATGAGTCAGAGCTCACACAAAGACAAGTAACAACAAACTCTCTCTTATGTAGCACATATTTGACTAAAATACACACTCAGGTGAAATTCACAAAATGAAACTGTTTTGAACATGACCGGATGTGCTCATCAGAAAGAATGCAGTATGACACCTATGTAAGGATAGTACATTCTTTCATAATTCAAAAGGATTGTCTTCAGTCGTTGAATGCTAAAAGGTGACAATTCTGTATGTGTCTTCTTTTAAAGTCTCGAGTGCCATTCATCTAGATAAAGAATATAGCTTCAAAGACTAAAACTATGGTTATGAGCCACACAAGAGGACCAGGTGTACTCTGGGCCCAGTGAGTCCTAAAGCATGGGCTGGTGTGTACCTTAAGATGGCAATAACCACCCTGACAGCAGTTCGGAATCTGGTAAAGGGACGCGATGTCATGGCTTTCTTATCTGCTTTGGAAGGAAATACTCCTAAATGAGCAATCATTGAAAGGGTCTCTTGCTCAGAATCCTGGAATCCACCAATCAGCAGCAAGAGATACTTCTTCTGATAAATCAAGGCTTTTCTAAAACTCTCTGCTCTCAAGTAATGCAGGTACAATTTTTCCACCTAAAAGAAAAGAAACAATAAAACTTTACCAAACTAAATAAAGAGATACTATTGAGAAATTCTGTATAGCTCATTTATACCTGCTGCTCTGAAAAGAATCAGATTACTGGTTTCCTCAGCAAATCATTATGGGTGTCAATCTTGCCCAGTGCTTAAAGCCACTGAGAAAACCACTGCTCAAACAAGGATATTTGTATCTCCCAGTGCCAGGCTCCAGAGACCATGAACTGCCAACAGATTCTCACATCCTTACCCCAAACTCCTAAGCACTGAGGCACCTATCTGTGCACACTGCACAGAGTTTTAGTCAATCTCGCTTGTCTCCAATTGAAGCTAACTAAGCTCTGTCCGGAGAGCAGTACACATTAGCTGTCCAAATGGCAAGTATGCTCAACAGATGAGAACTACATAGTCCTAAAAATTCTTCTACCAGTTTGAACAAACTCAAGGGTGCACAGAATGCGAGCAAAGCTCATTGCCACTTGTGTGGGGGCCACACTCACTTTGATGCTGCAGGTGTAACCATCTTCACTGCCAGCTGGTGCCCCTGGCCCTGGGTCTGTGTGCTTCAGTGAGCCTTGCAGAGCTGTCCTTTCATGTTTCCACGCTGTCCGGCTCGGCTTCTGTGACAAGAACAGCTATGAGAAGAATGACTAACACTCTGGATGGGAAGAGTGGGAGTCTAGGGCACAGGCTGATGCCCATCTCTAAGGTGTTGTGACACAGGCACCCTGGGTGGTGACAGACAAATGTAAAAAAAAAAAAGAAAAGAAAAAAGATGAGCAGGCACATCTTTGAGATGGGCCTCAGCTATTACTTGATATTATTCAGAACATTTACATTCAGTATTTTTTACAACATTTACAAAAGTATGAATGAACAATAGATATTTGTTGTTGTTATTGTTAGGGGCCATCTAATTGCCTGCGACTCACAGCAACCCTATGTACAATGGCCCTAAACCCTACTCTATCCTGTGCCAATCTTTTCTCTGACACACCGACCCCTACTATCCCAGTCACTGAATCAATCCATCTCACAGAGGGTCTTCCTCTCCTCTGCTGTCCCTCCACCCTCCCAAGCATGATGTCCCTCTCCAAGGACTGGTCCCTCTTTGCAACTTGTCCAAAGTAGGTCAGACGAAGCTTCAGAATCCTTGCCTACAAGGAGCAGCCTGGTTTGACCCTGTCCAGTAAGAACCTGTTTGCTCTCTTAGCAGTCCATGGTTTATTCAACATTCTTCTGCAGCACCACAGCTCAAAGGCATCAATTCTCCTTCTATCATCCCTAGTCATTGTCCAGTTCTCAGAAGCATAGCAAGTGACTGTAAAGACCATAGCCTGGATCAGGTGCACCTTAATCTCCAGAATGACATTACTGTTCTTCAATACTTTGGAGAGGTCTCTGATAGCAGACTTTCCCAGTGCAATTTGTCTTTTGATTTCCTGGCTGCTGATGCCAAGAGTGTTGATTGTGGAGTGAAATAAACTAAAGCTGGGAACAATCTCAATCTCTTCACCATCAGTCATGACACTGAAAATAGGCCCAGTGGTGAGAATCTTTGTTTTCTTGATATTGAGCTTCAATCCATATTGAAGGCTGGAGTCCTTGACCTTCTGAAGCAACCACACCTCAAGGATGTTTAATTAAGCCCAAATGAAAAGGCTGCAAGTTATCAAACACTTCACATTCTTTAATTTCAGAAATGCAAACCCTGGTAGATACAAATACCTAATCCTACTTTAGACTATCAAGTTACATACATGAAAACTTCAGAGAGATCATCACATACAAAACACTCTCACTTAAGGTGCAGGCTCTAAGTATTAAAAGAGCAAGTCTGACTCCCACTTACTCCACAGGGAGGAACTGCCCCCGTGAACAGTATTCACAACACAAAACTAATTTCCATGAGGTCAGACATGTTCCCTGCACTCTGCTACCTATTTCTGCTAATTCCAACAACAATCATACAGCTCTGCTTGGTCCAAAATCATCAGAATGGCTACACAGACCTCACAGTACCATATTCATTATTATGGGATTTATTAAAGATGTTAACAGGTTGGCAACAGGATACAATTTCAGATGAGGACACTTCTAATGTGTGCTTGCAGGCACTTCAGTGTTCAGCCTGTGACTTCAGCTATGTATTATAAAGCTCTGTTGTTGTTGTCAGCTGCCATTGAATCAAGTATGACTCACAGTGACCCTATGAACATCAGATTCTGAACCCTGTCCTATCCTGTGCCAAACGACAATTTCAGAAACAGGCAACACAATGGAAAGACAAGAGTAGAGCCAAAGAAACAGAACATAGAGTGAGACGGAGGACAAATCCTTCAACAGTAGATGGATAGAGGAACAATTTGAGGGAAAAAAGGGAAATGAAGAAAGCGTAAGAATCATGTGGAATAGCATTAAGAATAGTAACTATTTGTGACTGGAACTCCAGAACAGGAAAACAAACAAAGAAACAAAAGCACTGAGGAAATTGTTGAAGATTTGCTGAGCAAACTGTAAATAGGCTAAATCCCAGAAGAAAATCACTGTTGTTGTATATTGTCAAATTGGAACTGACCTATAGGTGACCCTCCAGCAAGTTTTCAGAGGCAGTTAACTGCACAGGAGACTGCCCAGGTTTCATTCCAATGATCACAATGTAACCACCCATCAGACTTCCAATGAGTCTGGTTCCATGGAGTCTTAAAGGTTCCATTTAACCTTATGTCATATCCTTATTCCTGAGGGATTGTCTTTTTGATCTTACATGCTTGATTCCTCTAAGTTCTTCCCTACTATTACTGTTCACCTTATAAGCATACATACTGACTGGATATAAATTACACTCCAGGGGTAATATGTGTAGCAGATTTTTTTTTGTGACTTGATGCACCTGGTCACTATGGTTGTGAGGTCGTATGACTAAGAACCCATTCTCTTGGATCAAGAAAGAGAAGGTGGGAGAACACAATGCATGAACTTTAAGATGAATGATTTTAAATGTAAATTTATTTGGATTTATTGGCTTAAATACCTAAGGAGAGACTGTTAAGTAGTTTTAAGGTAAGTGACGTAAACCCATTCTTCAAGGCTATGAGAGAATCTCTTTTAGATTTCTCAAAAAGGAGGAGCAGGTTTGGGGAGCCCATACTCCCAGTCTTTTTATATAACTCAACTCTACTGAGAGCCAACAAATCGGGACCACATCATAGCTGACCTTCCAGCAGGTTTCAGAGACCATGAATTGGACAGAGGAGACTGCCCATCTTTCTCCGTCTGGAGAGCTAGCAAATCATAAGCACATGACTTCAAGTTGTCAGCTCAACTCTGTACTCATAAGGCTGCCAGAGCTCACACCTATATTTTAATAATAGTTTTTTAAAATTAAAGATGAAGCAAGAACACTGAAAGTAGCTCATCATTTTTCAAAGGAATGGAAACTATTCATCTGAAGTACTCCTTTCCACATGAAGTAAAGGACTTGATACAGAAAGGAAAGAGATCCTGCACAAGCAAAATGACACTGAAGAAAAAGGAGTTCTCACACTTTCTTGGTCTCAAAACCTACTACACAATGCATGATGACACCTTGGTAATGCTGCAAATTCCTGAGTACTTATTGAGGATTCCAACCTTGAAGAATTGAGCACATAGGGGGATAATAAAAAACAGCCAAACAAACCACAACTCAGAACACCATATTACACAGCTAACTACTGGCATCAAGATAGTAGAACTGGGAACCTTATTCTAGATGGACATTATCTTTATTATGAAAATAACTCCCCTTCCCCATTGCTTTTGAGCTGAAACTGACTCATAGCTGATCCCACACTGGGTTTCTGAGGCTGTAAACTGCAGGGCAGGAGACTGCCTATTTTTCTCTCTTGGAGACGCTGATGGATTCGAACCACCAAAGAGGAGTCCCCTTTGGGTCAGAAGCACGTATCCTTACAGACACCACCACTAGAGACACATGTAAAAAGTCTCAATGAACACAAATGCATTATGAAAAAACTGAAAAGGAGTTACTTCAAAGGGTTTTATCTCCATGATTCTATTTAGCTGACACTTTAGAAAAAGCAAAGGCAAAAATTATGGGGACAGAGGTCATCACACTGGTGCATGCCAGTTGGTCAGGATGGGCAGATGTGACTCCAATCCTCTCAGAAATTGGTACCGTCCTGTTAATGGTGGTGGTTGAAAGAATCTATGTATGCAGTAAAAGCTCATCATACTACTTTACAGCACAAGAGAAAAAAAAAAGGGCAAATTTTACTGTGTGTAAATTTTTCAAGTTAAGAATACAGCACAATTGTGTGTATTTGGGGTTATCAAAGCAAGGGAAAATCCAGTATATGTGTGAGAGAGAAGAGAGAGAAAGACTGTGTGTGTAAAGCCCAACTTCTTTCCAAGTAAAGCTAATCTGTGTTAGGATAGTTTGAGGCCAGTGGCTTCCATTTACAGGAAAAAGAACAAATACATACATTTAAGGTGCAGCCCTTTTGAAGATGATGCTTCAGAACCTTTTCAAGCTTGGACACTGCCTTGCATAACTCTGCTTTCTCCTGGGTCACTGTGTTGAGTACTTTTGTAAGAGAATCATTGTCTTTCAGCAAAACGTCCACAAGTTGCATTTGTAGCTGTGCAGCTGTTTTTTTCTTGAGAAAAAGAAAACAAAAGCCTGTAAAAGTGCATTTTGTTAAAAGGTGCACATGATATTTTTGATGTAGGTTAATTATTTTCAATACTGTCATTTTAAGGCATTTAGTGTCGGAGGAAGTGAATGCAAGTGGACAGTGCTATCCACCCAGAGTACAGACATCACTACATCTCATTTCTTTGCAGTGTCCTGTCAAAGGACTGTGAAACACCATGTCTTGGACATCAGCTTCGCCCTGTTTTCAACTGTTCTAATGAGGTTGTAAAAAGCTAGGGCCCTGAGCAGGGACCAGAGAAAATCTTTTATTTATAACTCGGGAGCAGACCATACAATCAATTAAAGCAAGTGTTCTATTTCCATGACCAGATGAATGTCTGCTCACAGAAAGAGTACAGGAACACTGGAGGGCATGCAGCCAGGCACAGGACCCATGAGCACAGGTCCCAGATGCTGGGAAGGGGGATGGAGAGGAGGGTGAACATGGGATGGGGAGCCAGGGCAGGCACGTGGGATAGGGAGTTAGGGCAGGGAGAACAGTAGGGTGGGAAGGACAAGTGCAGGAGACACAGAGAACTGAGGAGAAGGACCAGGGACATAAGGCAGGGAAATGGTGTGAAATGTGGGGAGGGAGGGCGTAGGGGGACACAGGACAGGGAGGAGAGGGCCGAGAAGACAGGAGGCACATCATGTCATGAATCCAGCATTCACCTGAGAAGAGGCAGAGGCCCGGAGGTCAGTTTTTAATTCTTCCAGTGTCTGCAGCAATGAGGTCACTGTTTTCTCATTTGATGATGTCCAGTCATTAATTGTTCTGTTAAAAAAATAGAAAAATGAAAACATTTGTACGGTTACCAATTGACCATTACTCTAAAGCTATTCATGAGTCCTCTGTTAAAAGGAGATCAAGAAAGTAAGTTTGTACAACCCCATAGAGTAGTAGTAGCACTAGGCTAAACTGGAAAGTACCTACACTTTAAAAAACCCTTAAATTTATTTAAAAAAAAAAAAATCTAAATTTATACGAGTATTGTATAAACTTCTTGTTGAGCTAATGTGGTTGGTAAGAGTACTTCCTCAGCACAGGACCCACAGGCTGGAAAGCCTATGAAGGCAGCAGTGTTGCCCATGGTCAGTCACACAGCTGCAGACAGCTGCCGGGCATGGTGGAGATGCTGACCGCAGCCAAGAGTCACTCCAGGTGGAGCAGGGATCTGCAGGGATGGCCACCTAGGCCACCCAGCTCTAAGTAGGAAGAGGCCTAAATGAAACCTTGCTTAAAAACGACACTGTTGTGGACATTAAGTGCCAAAAGAGAAAGGAGAACTTAGCTGAGTTTCTGTGTATTGGAAAGAAGGAAAATATGTACACTAGTTTTTCCATTCATTTACATTTCCTTAGCAAGAGTCCTGAACAGCATGCACCAGCACTGGCTTTGTGTGGTAGGGCTAGGTCTTGGCTCTGTGCCCAGGGGCTTCTACAGGTGAACATCTGTAAAAGAGCTCGATGGCACAGAACCAATGTCAGGCACGCTGTGAAACATAAGACCTTTTCTAATATGAAAATGAACCCCCCCCCCCATTTTGTTAGTATCTTCCAGAGAGTTCTACCCACTAATTTATCCACACAGAAAGAAAAGGAAATAGAATGCATATTTCATTACAATATGGACCCGAAAGTAAAGAAACACCTTAATTTAGCCCAAATCTCACCATTTCTCTTAATTTTTAAAAATAACATTTAAGCTGTCTGATGAATTCTAATGAACTCGTGTGTACCTATTCATGGCCTGGCGGATGAAGCTGGACAGAAGCCCTGCTGCACACAGCAGCTGTTGCCGTGTCTTCTCTAGCTCTTCTTCCTGCTCACGGAGATGGCTGAGCTCTAATGGGAGGCGTCCTTCTGCGTGGCCAGTACTGTGGAGTGAATTCAGACCAAAGCCCCCAACAGGACGCAAGTCTTCTTTCGATTTTAGGTCCCTCACTGTCCGTTGAAGCTGCTCAATTTTATGTTCATCACGCTGTCGCTGTAATTCTAATTCCCGCTGTCATCAATGACAACACAAAAGAGACCATCACACACATGTTCCTAATACCACATTGCCAAGAGAAAGACCAAACAGCAGAGAGTTTGCTTGGGCCAGAAAAGAACCCCAGTGGGTGGTGGATACTCTCCTATGTCCCATGAATACTGTCTGGGTGCAACATCAATTAGGTGACAAGTCCAGCCACACCCTAGAGCTATGATGTGATGGGTCTCAATCTTTGTGAAGACAACTTAATTTTCACCAGGTCCAAGGCAAGCATTCTGGGTGAAAAGGGAGGAGCTTGGGGTTCTAGTGCAGACAGGAAGGAGCTCCATGGGCCCTGCAGTCTGGATCTACACAAGGCAACACATAGACATGTTGCACACACAAACCTACTGTGGGGTTAATTTGACACACACACTCACACCCCCCCCCCCCCCACATCCCCATCCATACACACAAGCATGCTTAGCACACATGAACAAACATTAAAACACAGACACAGGAATACATATGCACACATATGTGTACACATACACATACACTTGGACACATAAATACATACACACTGAGAAATATATACATATTATATGTACACAGTGAGACACTGCAACATACACACGATATGCACATGTGTGTGAACACACACAGTATACCCAGAGATACACACACATGAATGCACACTTTATATGCTGACTCATATACACACCCATGAAATAGAGACATACACATGATAATGAACACATATTAATAAGTAAGCACAAAGAAGACTGGTAGGGCACGTACACAGGAATGAACACATGCATACAGAAGCACAGAAGCCGGTGCTGCTGGCTACGTGGAGTCCTGGCTCTGAGCTAAATCATCAGAAGTGTCTTCTGTCCTTGGGCCTCATATTTGTACAACAGAGATTATTCTCCATTCAATGCACTTTCCTGTGACAGGCCCTGTATGAAGGGCCAGGCAGAAAACAGTGAACCAACTATGAAATTTCTGCTCCAGGACTTAACTTCTCTGAGGAGACTAAGGAAATCCCTAAACAAAAAAATCCCTACATGAAACTCAATTTGCTTTATAAACTTTCACTTAGATCTCTATAAAAACAACAGGAAAAACTCATTGAAAAGGAGGCACTTTCCTAGTGACACCCAAGGGATCTCTTCATGAGAAAACTGTGACCAAAGGCAAGGAGTTCCTGAGAGTGGGGATGCACAGCATAAGCACTGGGGAGGGAGACCAAGGGCAAAAGAGGGACAAGCTCCACAAAAGAAGGAACAATGAAGAGGCCTTGACCCCCAGGTTCTGTACAGCAGACTGTGGGAAGGGACAGCAGCCCACACAAGAGGCAAGTTCACTGGTTATAAGGTGCCCTGAGGCCAATCCTCAGAGAAACAAGAATGACTGTATTATCTTTAATTTCTCAGATGAGGGAAGTAAAACATAGGAATAGACAAGCTCATTTTGTCAGAAAATAACTCAGTCTCTGGGACACTTCAGTAGCTATGCTAGAGAAGGAATCTATGTGCCAGATAAACCCATAAACCAGCCACCTACAGCAAACACATCATTGGAGGGCATATCACTGGAGGGCCACATCCAGGTACACCATGAAGAAAAGTAACTGATTTGATTTAAAAAACATTTTCTTTGTGCTTATTTTTTAAGCAATAGGTTATCACCCATTTTTAGAAAAAAAAAAAAAAAGCAGTAATTAAGAATTTGGCTGAAAACTTTTGGCACAAAGGAGAACAGACTTCTTTGGTAATCACAAGAAAGCGACAGACCTCTCTTGTCCAGAGGAAATAAACCCTGAGTACAGTCCAGGCCACTAAGGTCCACAGTGGGCCTGATCCCATCATCTCTCATTCTATCACTTAGAACTATCCTGGCTACACGGCCTGGTGTCTACATCTGCAAGGGAGTCTTCATGTCCTAAGATATCTGGTGATTAAACAGGACAAATATTTTGAAGTTAAGCACTTTTTAAAAAAAAATGTTAACAATAATTATTACTGACACATACTCTAACATGAATGAATCTTTAGAATGTGCTGAGTGAATCAACTCCAGTCACAAGAAGGTGAACATCCTCAGGTCTGACTTACATGACCCAAAGGTCAAGTCTCTCTGGTGGTTCAAATCCACCAACATCTGCTCTGCAGGAGAAAGATGGGAAGTCTTCTCCTGTGTGACTTACAGCTTTGGAAACCCAATGGGGGGTCAGCTGAGAGTCAGTTCTGATTTGGTGGTAATGAGTCTGAGACAGAAAATAAATCAGACACTACTGGAGGCTAGGGGAAGGGGTAAAGGAAAAGTGATTGTTCAATGGATGTGTGTTTCTTTTTGGAGAAATGACAATATTCTAAAATCAGACTGTAATGGTGGTCACATACTTTATACTAAAACCACTGAACTGTATACCTGACTTGGTGAATTGCATGAGATGCAGATACCCAATATAATAATTTAAAAAACCCATTAATAACCTCCCTATTATGAATTTACAAAATAATTTTATAGTATGTTAGTATATAATTTATTCTTGTAGTATTTAGAAATAGAAAGCTTTGTTCTTAGAAATGAAAAGGCTACTGGTTTTACCTGCATGTTTTTTAAAACGTTTATAATTTCTCAATGTACCAAAAAAATCTTGAGAGTATTTAAATAACATTTTTAAAGAGGGTAAGTCAAATTCATAATATAGGAAATTATTTAATAAAAAACGAAGGCTTTTTTTGATGTGAAGATGATAAAAAATGAAGGGTCATACAAAAGAACACAAGTGGAGGGGAAACTGTCCAATACACGCTACAATGCTCAAAACCAAAAAAGGCATCACAAAGGGAAAAATACCTATAAACTCTGTATCATATCCCTCACGAATGGATGCAAAAAATCCTCAATAAAGATTATGATGGACCACAATGGAAGTGAAATTGATCCTGGTTTGTTGTTGCTGTTGTTGTTATGTGCCGTCGAGTCGTTTGCGACTCATAGCGACCCTATGTACAACAGCCCTAAACCCTGCTCTATCCTGTGCCAATCGCATTGCCTCTGACACACCCATCCAGATTATACCAGTCACTGAACCAATCCACCTCATAGAGGGTCTTCCCCTCCTGCGCCGTCCCTCCACCCTACCAAGCATGTCTCTCCTTACAACATGTCCAAAGTATGTCAGATGAAGCCCCAGAATTCTTGCCTCCAAGGAGTAGCCTGGTTTAACCCTCTCCAGGATGAATCTGTTTTCTTGGCACTCCAGAACCACAGCTCTTCTCCAGCACCACATTGATGCTCAAAGGCATCAATTTTCCTTCTATCCTCCCTAGTCATTGTCCAGCTCTCTGATGCATAACAAGTGATTTAACATCTGAAAATTCATCACCCAAGTACACCAATAGGGAGAGTGGTGGGAGGAAGGCCTAAACCTTTGATAGCAATAGACACAGAAAACATGGCCTTGTCAAGTCAATTCCGATTTAGGGTGACTGCCCATCAGGTTTCCGATACTGGGAATATGAACAGGAACTGACTTCCTCATCTTTCTCCCATGGAAGAGCCGAAAGATTTGGATCATAGACCTAATGGTTAAATATCATGGAACCAAGTATGCCATCAGGATTCCTTAGGCACAGAAAAAAAAATTATAAAATCCAACATTCCTTCATTATTAAAAAAAAAAAAAGTACACAAACTTGGAAAAGAAAGTATATTGCCTCAACCTTATTAAGGCATCAATATACCCAGTTAGAGGGAAGTCTGAATACTTCTCTGTAAGATCAGGAATAAGACACTGGACTGGAGACTCCAGCCCAAGGTGAGTGCTACTGGAACAAGAGTAGAGTCACAGATCTGTGGGGCAGGACTGATTGAGAGTCCTCTATCCCTAGTGCCACCCCTGCCATCCCTTGTGCTTTGTGAGTACCAACCGATGAGGGGCTGGGGCCCTGTGCCAAAAAGTTGGCGCTCACCAGTCTCTCCTTGTCTCTCTGCCACTTCTTCCACTTCTCTGTGTCTGCATGGCTCTGCCTTGGCTCCGCTCTCTTCCTCATCCTGTCCTTGTGTGCATCTTGCTCTCTCAATCTCTCCTGTAACTGCTCTAATTCTGCCTGTAACTGTGCGGGCTTCTCCCTCTCCTTCTGAAGAGAGTAACTCAGCTCCTGCTTCTGGGTCTGCAGAGCCTTCACGGCCGCCTCCAGGCTGGAACTTACATCCTTCTCTCGCTTGAGTGCCTCGCTGCGCAACTGCACCTCTGCTTCCAGCTGCTGCTGAGCATGCACCGCCTGCTGCTGTGTGCGCTCCAGCAGCGCCTGAAGCTCTGCTACGCGGGCCTGCTCCATCCCAAGCTTCTGGAGCAGGGCCTGGGGTAGCGAGGCCTCCTGCACCCGCTGGCTCAGCTGCTCTGTCAGCAGGCGCTCGTGGGCCAGGGCCTCTGAGAGCTCCCGTGAGCGGCCCTGCTCCACCTCCATGCTCTTCTGCAGCTCACTAAGCTTGCTGCGCTCCTGCGCCAGCAGTGCTTCGCAGCGTGAGCACTCGATCTGCAACTCCTTGTGGAGGTTGTCCTTTGCCGTCTGCTCATGTTTCAACGCCACACGCAATCTATTATTCTGAGCATGCTGCTTGTCTAAAGATGCTCGCAATTCCTGAAGTGGGAAAGGTGAAAAAAAAAGTGAAATCCAGAGGAAAAAAATACCAACCCAGTCTTCTTGTCCAAAGTTGTTTCTATCCTCTGAGACAGCAACCCTCATTCTTGACCAATATGGACAGAAGTATGCCCACCATTCAACCATCATGCCACCACCCTCAGGCACTTCTCTGGAAAACAAGCGTAGTATAAATGCACACATGTATCTTTGGTTTTAAGACACACCTCCTCCGAGGACACTCGGGAATTCACATAAACGTCCTCATGTTACAAACAAAGACTTGTATATTTTAGATGACTATTTCGCCATTATCCATGGCATGTGTGCTAAGCTTGTACTGTACGAGTACCAAAACCACCCCAGAGTACAGACTCACTTGGATAAATTCTAAGAAGATGCTGTCACAACCACTGTCTGGGTCATGTGAACAGACTTCATGGGCTGACAACTAGTGACAGTGGAATGGAGGTCACTGCCTACCTTTTGAAAGCACATTCTAAGGGTCAATGAGGCTGCAGAAGGGAGCAGGCGGGCTTACATGGCCACTGTTCACATCATTTCTATGAGGCCCTGGTGTCTCCCATCTCCCATCCCATGTTAGCTATCTTATCTAAAACACAGCCTCTGCTACTGCCAGAATGCTTCGACATGGCTCAGACATTGAGGTCCCTCAGGTACGCGGAGGAGCCAGCATTAAGGGTATAGCACTGCCACTCCACGTTACCTCCAGGGCCCGGGAGCTCTGGCCCTCCTTCTGCAGGTGCTGCAGCTGCTCTTCCTCCAGCTGGCTCTGCAGGGCGTGCTCCTTTCTACATCTGGCCTCCAGCTCCTTGCGTGTGGCCTCCAGGTCTTTCTCCTTGCTATCCAGCATGGACCTACGGGGGCACAACCAGTAGCACTGCATGACTGATCAGTAGGAACATGTGGATGGGCTGACAGTGGGGGGCGCTGACCCAGAGTTCACCTAGAGATGAGACCCATCACCATCTCACTGTGAGCACATGAGGGGATCCCTTCTCGGTCATAAACTCAGTGAGAGCAAGCACTACCTTAGCAGGCATAACAGCACCTAGCACATAGTTCATGGCACACCTTAACACTCCACTTTACTGTGATGCCAAGAAAAATGTGGCAAGTGCTATGTCACTTCCATTTTAAACCCTGTAAGTTGAGTATCATATGAAAACTAGAAACAGGAGGGGCTAGCAGGCAATGTGTATCTGACAGCAATTCACTGTCTTCCAGACCTCAGCTGGAGGACCTCCTTCTGCACGTCATTCAGGGACTTGAGCAGCCGTTCGTTTTCCTGCTTACACTCGCAGAGCTCGGATTTTAGATCTTTGACTGCATTTTGCTCCAAAACAAGCAGCTTCCGAACACTAGACGCTTTCTCTTGCTCCTCGCTGAGTGTTTTCTGTAAGCCGTTGGCTATGCATTTCTCCTGCTCAACCTTATAGGCTAGTAATTCAACTGAGAGAGAAAATGAAAAAACAAAAAACAAAACATGGAGTATTACTCATTAATCCAAAGTGAGTTATAGAGATAAGTCAACAAGTTAAAACACTAGCACTGAAGCTGTCTTCCTTTGGTGAGTGACCCTCACTAATAAGAAACTCACGGATCCCAACAGTTAGAACCTTCAGTTCATTCGGCCCATGTGCCTTCCTTCACCTCTCCCCACACGCTCTGTACTGAGACTGTCCTGAGCCCTCGCTGAGGGTACCAACGAGAGATGGCTACATGATCTTTTATAAATATTCAGCCCTGGAGATTCCCAGGAACAAGGGCCAAGACTAAGACAGACTTGCAGGGATGGCTGCTCAGAATGAACCCATCACCTCATCATCCTGAGCACCACAATGCACGGATGCTTATAGCAGGGTGTTGCAACATTTAGGGGGGGATAATGAGACAATCCAGATAATCAGGATCTCTTAAAAATAAAATACTTTCAGGTAGGGAGAAAATGTGCAATAATGAATAAGCGAAAATCCAACTTCTCTGTAACTTTTTGTAAAATTACAATAAAAGAGAAATTAAAAAATGTAAAATATTCTCATAAATCAAAGGACTTTATCAAAAAAGTGATACCCTAAAAACTAAGAGAAAATTGTGGAGTATTGATTCCAAAAAGTCTGAAAAGACATTTAACTACAGAGGATATGTAAGTGGCCATTGAGTACATGATAAAAATGCACAACAAATTACTCTTGTTGTGTACCATAGTTGGAACCGACCCACAGCTGACTCTCCTGGAGGGTTTTCAGAGGCAGTTAATTGCACAGGAGGAGACTGCCCATCATTCTTCCACAGAGCAGCTGGTAAATTTGAACCATGTGCCTTTGGCATTATAGCGCAGCTGCTTGCCACTAGGCCACCAGCGTTCCCCAACACATTAGCCATTCCAAAACCAGAACTCATTGCAATCAAATAGATTCTGATTCAGAGACCTATACCTGTTATGAAGCATTTCCACCACTTTACAGGTACAAACTTACAGCTTCCCTCCAGAGTGACCAGTGGGTTAGAAATGCTGCTGCTGTGGTTTGCAGTTGAGAACTTAACCACTGTACCACCAGGACTTCTTTTCAGTAACTGCCCATCCATTGTCTCTGTGCTGAGTCTGACTGACAGTGACCCTTCATCTGGTTTCTCAGGCTGTAAAGCACAACAGGAGATTGTTTTCTCCCTTGGAATGGCTGCTGGTAGATGCACAAATTGTTTTCTCCCTTGGAATGGCTGCTGGTAGATGCACAAAGACGTTACTACTTCATCCCTATTAGAATGGCAATGACTAAGAGACAAAAAGACTTGGCAAGGCGGTAGAAAAATTGCTAGTGAGGATATGAAATGGTATAGCCACTGTGGAGAACAGTTTCCCGGTTCCTCAAATAGTCAAAACACAGAGTTACCTTATGAATAGCAATCTCAAGGCTAGGTACATACTAGAGTAAGCGAAGGCAGGAATGCAAACACCAGTGTTCATCACAGCAGCACTTGTCACAAAGCCAAAACGTAAAAACAATCAAAATGTTCACAACATAAATATAAAACCAAAATGTAGTCTATGCATACACTTCTCAACCATAAAGAGAAAAATGAAAAAATCCTAATGCATGCTGCAACATGAGCCTTGAAATCATCATGCCAAGGGAGAGAAAGCAGTTGCAAAAGGACAAACACTGTATCATTTCACTTATATGAAATAGAAATCAAAAGTATTAGTGGCCATAGGGGTTGGGGGGAGGGAGAATTTATAGAAATGGTTATGGAATGATTTTGAAAAAGATGGCAAGAATGGTTGCATAATTTAAATGTCCAGTCAATTGTACACGTAGAAATTGTTGAATTGATGTAATCTTATTGTGTGTATTTTCTAATAAAAATGAATAAATACATAAAAGGGGAGGAAGAACTTAAGTAGCAAAGCCATAATAAAAACTCCTCTGAAATAAATGAGGACGGACCACTCCCAAACCTTCTGTGTTGCTAATAAAAGACTCTTCAAGAAACAGAACAACAAAGAAGCAGAATAACAATCATAACCTTAGGGACAGATGCATGAACACTTGTGTCAGCGCATAAGAATCAATTTCACAGAGAGCCACCCACCATGATGGTTGCCCAGACTGCCCTGCTCAACACAGTACAACCCTATGCGCTCCAGACCAAGAGCGAGCGCTCAACAGGGAACTACGCCCAATGTCACAATCAGAGGCAGATGCTACCAAAAGAAGAGCAAGGATGTTGCCCTCAAGGGTCTGAGCATGGAAAATGAGGGGTTAGAACCACTGAAACAACCCAGGGCAAGAGGTGGGAGCAAAGTCATCCAAGTGAGCCAGAAAACCATGATGTCCCTGTGCTTAGAAAATGTGACCATTATCAGAGAGAACTAGAATAAAATTCATGTGCAATATCTCAACACAATGTGGCTGGCCCAGTTGAGACCCTTAAGGATCTTCTAGAAGGAAACCTAATTTTCAACTTGAGTCACCTAACCCTTACCCCTTCTCTCACGAAGCATTACTAGTCAGCTCTCATAAAGATGTGTCTGCTATTTGCAGAGGGTTCCATCTTGTCACCTCCAAGATGGTACAATGTAGGTACCATACGAGGGAAGCCCTCACAGTTGCCTTGAAGGAACTCCGGGGCTTCCATTACCAGTGAGCCCTCAGTTATGTCCTAGTGGCCAAGGGCCATGCCAGGACTTGGGCCCAGGGAGAAAGGAGGCTACTCACCTTGCCTGCGCAGCTGGTGCTCCTGGTGGCTCCCTCGGGCCTCTGCACTGGTGAGTGCTGCACAGAGCTGCTGCAGCTTTTCCTGATTCTGTAGGTGTGTCATGCGCAGCTGGGCACGCAGAGCCTGGATCTCAGACAGCAGGCTGCTCCGGTCAGAGAGACAAAATGACTCCTCGGATGGCTCCTGGAGGACTCCCTGTGGACAAGTGGCAGGAGGTGTAAAGGGTAGCGCCACAGGGACAAGAAGGCAGTTCCTGGGAGATATGGAAGTGAACAGGAGCCCTATGCAACAAGATCCCAGGTCCTTCCTGCAACAATGGGTGCACATTGCTGAGGGCTGAGAACAAGGCAAAGCACATGTGGCGAATGTGCAAGGAGCCCACACACATGGCAGTGACCTATGCCCTCCTCCTCACAGTGCTCCAGCCAAGCCACTCAGACCAACTGCAGAAGCTGCCTAAATCACTGGAGACAAGAGCAAGCTCTCTCCATTTAAAAATGCAAAGGAAGGAAGAGGGCTCTCAGAAACACGGGTTAGTCTTAACGTTCTGTAGGTCTGTGCCCAGAGCACACAAGGAGGCTCAGTTATTCACAAAGAGTAAGTTAGTGACAGGGTACTATTTCCCAAATAGGTGCTCAGTCATTCTGAACTGTGGATACTGACTCCTACCAACATTGAGCATTAAAACAGAGATGCTTCTTTCCCCACAGCCCTACATGTCCCACCAGAAACACCAGTGTTGTGCACCTGCTCCTGGACAACATTCTCCAGCCGGCTGAGCAGGGAAGTGCTGTTCCTGGGCTTGCAGCTACCCAGCCTGGATTGCAGTTCGACACCCAGTGTACGCTGCTCCTTCTCAAATGCATTCTGTACAGCCCGCAGGAATACTCCTCTCCAGTCTACACATATGTCAGAAGAATCCTGAAACGGGATAAGAAAGTGTCATCTTTACCTCAACACACCAAAGACGAGGGAAGGAGCAAAGGTGACAGAAGACTCACATTCTCTTGGCCAGAAGGGAGAGAAGTAAAAAGACAAGATTGCAGGGCAGGGGGTGGTGTGTCCATGTTGTACAATCAACATTCTGGTTGAGGACACTACTGCCATGAAGTGAGTGAGGACCCACTACTGCTGCTGTGTGGTCCTGTACTGGTTATTATGTACCATCGAGTCAGAACTGACTCATAGCTGACCCTCGGGCAGATTTTCAAAGGCAGTAAATCACAAGGAAGGAGACTGCCCATTTTTATCCTGTGGAACAGCTGGTGGATTCAAACTTCATGCTTTTGGGTTAGCAGCACAGCTCCTTACCCCTAAGTCACCAGAATTCTCACTAAGCCACTGGGCCCTGGTGTCACCTAATGTAGCAAGCGGGTGCTCAGGATGCTGGCATGTGGCATAGTCTTGGAAGTGGCAGATCTAGATGAGGGCTATGCCCCACATCCCCAGGAGCAGACCCAGGTGGCAGCACAGCAGTCAGGGATAGCTCAGGGCTTAAAGGGGAGCTTTGAGGGATGCAAAGACTTCAAAAGCACCAGCTAGAAGCTCATGCCTGGAGCTCCCACCCTTACTCCTTAGCATATCACACCTGCTGAGGACAAGATAGAAGTGAGCTCTCGTGTGAGCTAAAACTAGTGCCAAGGGACAAATCCCTTTCAGTCCTGACTTGTCCACCTCCCATGACACTGCAACTGAGGGCCTATCCAGGACTGTCTACCCACCACTGGTCTGCTGTTTTCTCAGGGCCTACAGTATGCCCATAGATGGGGTGGGGGCTGTGTGGCACTGCAGTGGCCTAATACTGACAGCCCCATTCAGTTCCTAAGATTTCCACTAGTGTTGCCCACCTTTTGTCCCTTCTGGGGTGCTCCGAGTGGGATCGGCACTGCCTCCATCAGGCCCAGTCCCTCTGCCAGCACACGCTCTGGGGCAGCACATGGCTCACCCCTGCCCAGTATGCTGGGGGAGCTCTGGTATTCAGAAAGGGCCAAGATGTGCCGGCTCTCATCACATACCATCTTCAGCAGTGCCTGTAACAAAATACCAAGTCAAAGAGGACAGCTTGCCTAGGGCCCCAGCAGGGCAAAAATGACACATCTACAGTGAAAGGGCAGGACCCCTGTTCCTGTGGCCCTGGTGGCATTTCCTGTCTGGTCCAATTTAGAACCTTTAACTAGGCATCACATTTTACTTATCTATTTATCTCTTGATGGGTACTTACTTTAGTGTGTGTGGGTATGTGTGGAGATATATATTTATCTGTTCATGCTACTTCTATTAAATCCTTTGGGTAGATACAAAACAATGCAAACATGGAGACATGGTGTCTTGATGTTTAGTTTTTGGAAGAATCACCAGACTCTTTCCCATAAGAATTGTACCATTTTGAACTCGTACCAGCAATGAATGAGGGTTCTAATTTCTCTCTATCTTCATCTACATTTGTTATTTTTTGGCTTTAAAGAAAAAAAATAATCTTCAGCATCCTATTTTTGTTAAGTGCCATCAAGTCACTATTCACTCATAGCTGTTCTAAGTATAAAAGAATGAAACAATGCTCAGTTCTACACCATCCCCATAACTGCTATTATGTTTGAGCTCACTGTTGCATTCACTGTTATCAGTCCATACTGCTTGGTTTTCCTCTTTTGTGTGGAACCTCTACTTTACACGCATGTCTGTCCAGTGACTGATTAATTCCTCTTGATAACTTTCTCAAAATAAGTCTCATTATCCTTGCTTTCAAGAAGCATTCATGCTGTTAATCCTAAAAAGAATTAAGTGTTTTTTCTTCTGGCAGTTCATGGTATATTCAATATTATTCACTAAGATCACAATACAAAGACATCACTTTTTTTTCTGCCTTCCTTACTCAGTGTGTGTCTTTTGTATGTATATGATGAGATTATAAATAACATGGTTTGTATTAGATACAGCTTAGTTCTCAAATGACATCTCATCTCTTAAACATTTTAAGGAAAAAGGTCTTTTTTAGAATATTTGTCCACTGGAACACATCATTTAATTTTCTGACTGCTTCTTTGTGGGTGACAAAGGAAGAAGTTTATGGTGCTCTGAAGGAATTGGCAAGAAGCAAGGCCCCAGGAATTGATGAAATACCAAATGAAATATTTCAGCAAACAGATGTTACCCTGGATGTACCCACCAGGTTATGTCAAGAAACGAGGACAACTACCTGGCCAACTAATTGGAAGAGATCTGTATTTATTCCCATTCCAAAAAAAGATGACCCAAGAGAATGTGGAAATTATTAATGATATCACTTACATCACATGCAAGCAAGATCCTGCTGAAGATTATCCAGAAACGACTGGAACAGCTTATCAGCAGAGAACTGCCAGATGTGCAGGCTGTTTAGAAGACGCTACGGTGCTAGGGATATTATTTCGTTGTTGTTATTGTTATGTGCCATCGAGTTGTTTGCGACTCATAGCGACCCTATGTACAACAGCCCTAAACCCTGCTCTATCCTGTGCCAATCTCATTGCCTCTGACACACCCATCCCGATTACCCCAGTCACTGAAACAACCCACCTCATAGAGGGTCTTCCCCTCCTGTGCTGTCCCTCTACTCTACCCAGCATGATGTCCCTCTCTAAAGACCTGTCCTTACAACATGTCCAAAGTATGTCAGACGAAGCCCCAGTATCTTTGCCTCCAAGGAGCAGCCTGGTTTAACCCTCTCTAGGATGAATCTGTTTGTTTTCTTGGCAGTCCATGGTACATTCAACATTCTTCTCCAGCACCACAGCTCAAAGGCGTCAACCCTCCTTCTAGCCTCCCTAGTCATTGTCCAACTCTCTGATGCATAACAAGTGATTGCAAAGACCATGGCCTGTATCAGGCAGACCTTAGTCTCCAGAGAGACACTGTTGCTCTTGAGTATTTTGGAGAGGTCCCTAACCGCAGACTTTCCCATCGCAATACGTTTTTTGATTTCCTGGCTACTGGTGCCAAGAGTGTTGACCGTGGAACCGAGCAAACTGAAGCTGTGAACAATCTCAATCTCTTCACCATCCATCCTGATGCTAGCGATTGGTCCAGTGGTGAGAATTTTTGTCTTCTTGACATTGAGCCTCAGCAGTCCTTGACCCTCTGCAGTAAGTACATGAGGTCCTCCTCAGTTTCAGCGAGCAAGGTGGTGTCATCTGCATAACGCAGATTGTTGATAGATCGTCCACCAATCCTAATGCCACGCCTCTCCTCATAGAGCCCCGCCTCTCGGATAATCTGCTCTGCATACAGGTTGAAAAGGTATGGAGACAGGACACATCCCTGACGTACACCCTTCCCAATTTTGAACCATGCAGTATTGCCCTGCTCTGTTCTGACAACTGCCTCTTGGCCCAAGTATAGGTTTTGCATTAGCACGATTAAATGTTCGGGGATTCCCATTCTTCTCAGAGTTAGCCACAGTTTGTTATGACCCATGCAGTCAAATGCCTTTGCATAATCAATGAAACACAGATAGACATTCTTCTGGTATTCTCTGCTTTCAGCTAAGATCCATCTAACATCAGCTACAAAATCCCTAGTACCCCGACCCCTTCTAAGCCCAGCCTGGACTTCTGGCAGTTCTCTGCTGATGTACTGTTCCCGTCATTTTTGGATAATCTTCAGTAGAATCTTGCTTGCATGTGAAATCAATGATATTGTTCTGTAGTTTCCACACTCAGTTGGGTCGCCCTTCTTTGGGATGGGAACAAATATTGACCTCTTCCAGTCAGTTGGCCAAGTGGTTGTTCTCCAGATTTCTTGGCACAACTTGATGAGCACATCCACGGCAGCATCTGTTAGCTGAAATATGTCAATTGGTATACCATCTATTCAGGGGGCCTTATTTTTTGATATTTCCTTCAAAGCAGCTTGAACTTCTGCCTTCGTCACCATAGGCTCTGGCTCAAATGCTATTTCATTAAATTTTTCTGTATAGCTAATGTTAAATGGATCTTGGCTGAAAGCAGAGAGCACCAGAGGAAGGTCTATCTGTGTTTCATTGACTTTGCAAAGACATTTGACTGTGTGGCTAACCTTAAGAAGAATGGGGATCCCAGAACACTTAATTGTGCTCACGTGTAACCTAAACTTGGGAGTAGGAAGCAGTAGTCAAAAAAGAGTAAGGAAAGGCCATGGTTCAGGATCAGGAAAGGCGTCCATCAGAGATGCGTCCTATCTTTATACCTTTTCAATCTATATGCAGAACAGATCATTTGAAAGGCTGGACTTTACGAGGAGGAATATGGCATCAAGATTGGAGGAAAACTCATCAACAATATGCGTTATGCAGACAATATAACTAAAGAGGACATGAGGTGTTTGCTGCAGAACGTCAAAGATTGTAGTCTTCAATATGAATTGAAGCTCAACATCAAGAAAATAAAGATTCTCACCAACAGTCCCATTGATAATTTCAGCTTTCTTGATTATACAATCAACAAACACTCTTGATACCAGCAGTCAGGAAATCAAAAGATTAATTAAAATTGGGAAAGTCTGCTGTCAGGGACCTTTCTAGAAGTACTAAAGAACAATGATATCAGTCTGGAGACTAAGGTACACATGATCTATCATCTTTGTAATTATTTGCTATGCATCTGAGAGCTGGACAATATAAGGATAAAAGAAGGACAGATGCCTTTGAGATGTGGTGATGAAGAAGAGTATTGACTATATTGTGGAGCGCCAATAAAACAAATAGGTCTTCCCTGGAGAGGTGACACCAGTTTGCTCTCCGGAGGCAAGGATTTTGAGGCTCTGTCTCCCATACTTTGGGAACATGGCCAGGAGGGACCAGTCCTTGGAGAAGGGCATCATATGCTTGGAAGAATGGAGAGACATCACAGGTGAGGAAGATGAAAGATGGGATGGATTGACTTAGAGACTGGAGATACGGGATTAGGTCTGTTGGAGACTATTAGATTGGCTCAGGATAGGGCAAATTTTAGAACTAATCTCCATAGGGTCACGATGAGTTACAGGTGCCTTGATGGCACATAACAACAAAAATCCAGCTTGAATTCCTGGCACTTTCCTGATCATGTCCTGCTTTAGCCATGTGTGAATTTATCTTCACAAAATTTAAAAAAAAAAAAAAAGGTTTTATATGTGTGTGAAATGAATTATATTGTTCAATAATATTCTCATTCCGTTAGAAAGGAAAGGAAACAAATATAAGACTGGATCTTTTCTAATCAGTTGACCAGGCAGCTGTCTTCCAAATGTTAAGTGAAAAATATATGATATTATACAAAATAATATGAATATGATAATATTAAAGTGGTTTCAGGAATAGAGCGGAGAGGAAAGAAGTCAATACGTGAGAAGCAGTTTCTGTTTGTGGTCACTGACAGGTTGGCATCAATTAATGTTGTTTTATATACTGAAGAGTAGGAACAAACTCATGACTGACCCTCCAGCGGGCTTTTTAGAGGCTGTAAATAGCATGGAAGGAGACTGTCCATCTTTCCTGTAGAGCAGCTAGTGGATTTGAACTGTGCGCTGGGTTGGCAGCACAACTCCTGACCACTAAGCTACCTGAGCTCCCTTCAATTCAGGGTAGTGGTTGCATAGCCTGATTAATGCAATTGATATCACTAAGGTGAACAACTAAAAATGCTGAATTGGTAAAAAATGATGTGGCATTCATTATGTTTTATATAACAACAAACTTTCAGCAAGGAAGAGGAAGACCCTTCACAGGAAGAACTAACAAAGTGATGTATACATGGACTCAAGTTTATCATGATGAGGCAGATGTGGATGATATAGGATCACTACCACTCATGGCCAACTTGATGGCATCTGACAACAACAATAATATGAGGAGAATACTCATAGAATGCTACTAATTGAAAAAACTCAGAAATAAATGTGTGTGTTGTACACTTTAAAAACAATTGCAAGGGGAGCTCTAGTGGCCTAGTGGCATGAAGCTGCACTGCAATCCCAGAGATATGTGGTTCGAATTCATCAGATGCTCTGCCGGAGAAGGAGGGGCCATTTCCTCCTGTACCAGTCAGATCCAATTTGATGGTACACACACACAGAAAATAATAAAATAAAAATTAAAAAAAAAAAATTGCAGACTTGAACAATTCTACACAAGGTGCTTTAGCACCAAAACCCTATGAGCAGAAAGATGAAGCTTAGTTATGATATGCTCATAGTCTCACTAGATAGGCATTTCCTTCCTCAAAATATCACTGCATGTTTAAAATTGTAAAGTGTGTCAAGGCTGTATCCTTTTCCTATACCTACTCAATCTGTACAGGGAGCAAAAAAAAATTGAGAAGATGAACTCAATGAAGAAAATGGCATCAAGATTAGAGGAAGATTCATCAACCATCTTTATGCAAATGACAACAGAAAATTTGCAGAAACTAAAAACGACTGAATGTACTAACTGTAGAAAATCCAAGACTACAGCATTCAGTATGGGTCATATCTCAACATCATGTAAAGAAAAATCCTTATCACCACAGGCAACAAACATCATGACAGATGGAGAAAAGACTGAAGTTATCAATGATAAATGACTTCTGTCTTAACATCTCAAGCGTACTGTTTTAGAAACTCAGAAGTTGGCTTTTTTTTTCCAGAAGACAAATAAGAATGAATAAAACTGGATTGCACCCAATAACCTGACTGCTCAGTGACCTAAAACGGCAGTTCAAAGGGAGCCAGACTCAAACCAGTCCCCAGAGGCCAGAATGATGCATGCACGAACTAATATCCCCTAACAAGACATGCTACCACCTCCCAGACTGTCCTGCACCAGAGTCCACCTTCAAGTTTAGTTTGTGCATAGAGAAGGAAGGAAATCTGCATACATCCTACTCCCAAAAAACATGTCTCCTCCCTATGAGAAAAAACCTTAGAAAAGCTGGGAGCATCTGTTACCCAGGGAGACACACTGGTTACTGGGCTTATTTGGGGGGAAACAGGCCCTTTCTTTGTCATTAGTTAGTATGAGTCATCCTAGAGTAATATAGGTTCTAATTATATATGAGGTAAAGAAGATGACAGGTACCAAGACAGAATTACACATGATGTGAAGCTATAGCTATAAGCAATCTCAAAACCAGGTTCTTGGAGAAGAGATCCCAAAAAAGCAAAGCACTTCTAAAAAACAAAAATGAAGTGGGAGACAGAGCACACTCTCTGACCTCAAAACCTACTGTGGAAGTAATGAAAACAGCATGGTACTGGTACAATGACAGGCACACAGACAAATGGAAAAGAATTGAGAACCCAGAAATGGACCCAGTTATCTACGGTTAACTGATATTCGACAAGGAAATAAAACCTATCAAATGTGGAATGATAGCCTCTAGTAAGTGGTGCCTGGTAAAACTGGACTGATACCTGCAGAAAGCTGAAACAGGATCCACATCTCATACCATACACAAAAAGTCAACTCAAGGTGGATCAGAGACCTGGGAGTAAAGCCCAAAACCATGAAGTTCATCAGAGACAAATTGGGACCAAGTGTAGAAGCCCTAATCTATGGTATTGAGAGATTACAAATACACCCAGTAATATACAATCTGGAGAGGATAAAATTGATGAATGGGACCTTCTAAAGATCTTGTGCACATCAAACACTTTTTCCAACAGAGTGAAAAGAAAACCTACTGATTTGGAAACATTTGGCAATACCATTTCAGACAAGGGTCTCATATCAAAAGTTTACAGAATCATACAGGGCCTCCACAAGAAAAACACTGGTAACATAATTACAAAATGGGCAAAAGACATGGAAAGACTTTTTACATAGGACGATATTCAGGCGGCCAACAGACACATGAAGAATGCACAAAATCAAAACCATCATGAGATACTATCTCACTCAAATAGCAGGGGCAAAGTTTAAAAAGGACAGCAAGTAATAAATGTTGGAGAGGATGTGGTGAGGTAGGAACTCTTATACACTGTTAGTAGGATTGGAAATGGTACAACCCTCTGGAAGGAAGTTTGGTGTTTCCTCAGAAAGCTGAAGAAAGGAAATTACATATGAGTCAGCTGTTTTACTGCTTGGAATATACCCTGAGAAAATGAGAACCGAGGCAAAAAAAATGAAGACTTGTACACAAAAAATCCTTACCACTGGGCCAATGGGTAACATCATGATAGATGGAGAAAAGACTGAAACTCTCAACTATTTCATCTTGCTTGGATCCACAATCAACACCTTTGGTACCAGCAGTCAGGAGATCAGGAGTGACTAACATTGGAAAAGTGTGCCATCAGGGACCTCTCCAAAATCCTTAAGACCAGTGATGTTAGTCTATCTAAAGATTAAGGTGAGCCCCATTCAAATCATAGTCTGTCCAATCACCGGCTATGCATCTGCGAGCTGGATAATGAATCTGGATGACAGGAACAGAATTGATGATTCTGAGTTGTGGTGTTGGAGAAGAGTGTTGAATATCCCATAGACTGTCAAAAGAACAAACACAAATGTTGTAGAGAAAGTGGAGCTAGAGTGCTGCGTGGAGGCAAGGATGGCCAAGCTTTGTCTCACATACTTTGGCATGTTGCTATAAGAGGCTATTCCTTGGAGAGGAACATCATACATGGAAAAGTGGTGAGTTATTGAAAAGAGGAAGATCCCCAGAGAGATGGACTAACACACTGACTGTAGCAATGTGTCTGAGTGTGTCACAGACTGTAAGGATAGCTGGCACAGGACAGAGCAGGGTTCTGATCTCTTGTTCATAGAATCACTATGAGTCGTATTTGACCTGATGGCACTTAACAATAACAACAACCAGAGGCTACAAGAGTTTGTGTGGCCCTGCTGACACCTTCTTCTGGGAATATAATCTCTGTTCTTTAAAATCACTCACGTGTGGTATCTTGGTGTAGCAGTGCCAAGACACTCAGAGCTACCCATGTGATATGGAGGGTGAGAAGGTTTTATGGATCTAAGGTTTTATGGTTGTATGGTGGATGCCTATGGTTCCCACCATTACCTGCACCTGCTGTGCACACACTTCTCTCTCCTTCATTGTTTCTGGGAGCAGCTGAGACTTTGCAGACTTCTGAGGAGAAGCTGTAGGACTAACAGTGGGAGTTTCAATTCTCTCTGGACCTTCGTTTAAAATGTCCCCAAAGCCTGAGCCATCACCTAAAAAAAGAAAGAAAATAAAAACAAAACAACAAAAATCACCAGCACAAAATTAGGGTCTAAATTGCGATTTGCTAGTGACAGTCTTCAAGAACACACAGAGGGTGTAGGAGAGGACTGAGACACACCCTTTGAGATCTATCATGTCAGGGCTGCTGAGAGATTCTCATAATGTTATTCCTTAAGAATAGCAGTTAAGAATTAAGTAAACTACCACCAAAAAAACAAAAGCACACCAAGAACAGCAGTTAAACCACCAAAGTGGTTAGAAGTAACTTTACAAAGCACAATTAAAGATGAGAATCAACATATATCACATAAAGACAGGCATTATGACACATCTCCTGACCTTACAGAGATAGTGGCACGTTTACACAGATGTTTAGAGGTGCACCTCTTCACCCTCCCAAACAGATCTGACACACAGCACCACACAGGTAATGGACAGTACAGTCTTAGCACCACAGAGACCGGGGACGGTGCATGAGTATGCCTGATCAGATGGTAAAGGTACTAATTCTGGAGTGGGTAGGGAAAAGAAGCCAAGAAGTAAGTCTGGGGCCTCTGAAAGGAGACTAGAATTTGGAAGTACCAGTCAACTCTCAGGGAGTGAGGGATGGGATGAAAATAGGAGAATTAAGTCTTGGAGAAGTATGCAAGCTCTTGTCATATTTCCCTCAAGTCATGCCACCCAATGACTCCCTGTGAGCAAGCAGAGGTTCCTTTCTGGAAAAACCAGGCCAAGAAGACAATCCTGGCATGAGGCAGAGTAGAGGACTGTGCAGTATTTAGTGGCAGCTTATAATAGAAATATAAATTATTATAATTAAATATAATATAAAGGGCAGCTTCTTCTCACTTAGTAACCTGCAGGCATACACCTCATCTCAGTAGGGAAGGAGCACATTAGGCCAAGAGAAAGTACATAGCGATCTGCATGCTAATGGTGGGGCTCCTGGACAAGAGCTACCAGTGTACTGCCACACTATGAACTTGGAGCCTGTGATGTTATTGTCCCAAGGTGGTGTCTGCACCTAGACTCTGAGATATGTGATGGAAACACCAAGACAAGAGACAGAGTACAACAGGGAGCACAGGGAAGAAAAGAAGTAACAGAAAAAGTGTAATTAATATTTTAAAGGAGCTTCTAGAAGGGTCATATTATCAATGAAACAAGAATAGGAAACTATACAAGAAATGAATGATAGTTCAAATCCACCAGATGCTCTGCTGGAGAAGGAGAGGTACTCTCCTCCTGTGCCAGTTGGATCTGATTTGATGGTACACACACACACACACACACAAATAATAAGATTTTTTTTTAAATAATAAGATTGTTTTAAAAAGGAAAAAGAAATGAAAGATCGGAGACTAAGAAAGAACTCTTAAAATGAAAACTTTGAGAGCAGAAATGAAAGCGTTCAGTACAAAGGTTGAGAAATTAAGTCTCTCAGAAATGAGAACAAGTACAGAGAGTAGCAGGAAAATAGGGAATTAGACCAACAGGCGGATTTGTGAATAGCGAGAGTTACAGAAAGAAAGGGGGAAATCATGGTAACACGATCACAGCACAGTGTCTGAGCACATAAAGGTTCTCTGGATCGAGTGTGCTCAGTGGAGACTTGGGCAGATGCAGGTGGGATGCAGATGGAAGGTGCATGGAAGCTAAGAGGGATGTGGGTAAGACATGGCCAGAGTACGGGCAATACTCCCATACTGCACAGGCACTGATTTCTGGCCTGAGTCAGCATAGCGATGAAAGTACCAAATCACATGGCAAGACCAAAAAAAAAAAAAAAGCAAAAAGATCAAAGCTACCCCCCACCAAAAGCATTGATGCACCTTTCCCTCAAGAGCTCCAGAGAAAAGCATTAAAGATAAGGGTCTGACCCAAACAAGTGCCGATGGCCTGTACGTGTGGGAGGGGGCCCCCTAGAGGGTCCTGAGCAGGTGGTAAGCATTCAACTTGGGACCCAGGTTGGGGAGAAAGGGTGACAGGATAAAAGAGAGGAGACAAAGGCAGTAAAAACCCCAAGTTATGCAAGAAATGAAGTGTAAGCTGCATACTGCACAACTCTGCTGGAACTGCAAAAAAAGGGGTTTTGTTAAAAGAGCAATGTTAAGAACGAAAAAAGGAGAGAAATATTCAATAGTGATTTAACAATATTCTCTTAGAAGGCTGAGAGGAGGAAAGGGTATATGGGCTTACTGCCAGCAAGTTTAAGTAGGATATTTACATAGCAGAGACTGAGCTCTTAAGCCGTGTAAGTGTAAGTCACTTTTAATGATAATTAAGATGACATAAGAAATAGTTCTATATTGTAGTTGTAAAAATCTAAATTGGCTTGAACTTCAAAGCTGTGATTTAAAAGTCACATATAACTATTTTTTTAAAGTTGACCTTGACATGTAAGTAAATCAAACTACCTTGTCTCAGCCCTTATGTATAAAATGTTGCATGCTAATTTTTGTGAGACAGAGCATCAAATGGTTCTTAGTTTAAAATAATCTAAGTGTCCATCAACACAAATGGCTAAATAATCTATGGCATAGTCACACGGTGGAATATTAAGCATCATTAAAAACAATCCAGAATTGTTTTAATACAAAAGAAATGTATTAAAAAATGTATAAAAATAAAAACTTGAAAAGGCAAAATACTAGTTGGTCTCCCATCTGGATGACAGCTGTTAGAGAGATGAATTAATTCTAAGGAAGATTTTTTGGATCCAGAGGACTGAGCGCTGACTTGCTTGCCCTGCATGTGCTGTCTAAGTTGTGGCTCATAATTAATAGGAGCTGTAATCAAGGCCACAAAATGACAGACATCATCCTAAAGAAGGAATTTCAGGGCTTTAGCCCCGTTGACTCCTCTCCTCTAGATCTGCCTTAGGATATCAGGATGAGAAAATGTATTTTGATTTCTCAAGGAAGGACGGACAACCCCTCAGAAGAGATTTTACTTCAGGGGTGTGAAGGAATAATAATTCCTCATTCTTGTGATCATCAGCACTAAGCCAAATACATAATTTTAAATGAGGCATGCTCTTTTATTCATTCATTCATCTGACAACTGTTTGTTCCTTATGAACCACACCTAAATATCTCATTAGAAATGGTTTGTGTTTTTTAAAAAAATAAAGGAAATGATTTTCCAGGGAGTTCATTTCCATCGCCCTTTATTTGTGCAGGAACTTCAGCACTATTCGTGGCACCAATGAACCAAAGATGGTGCCAGGAGCTCTTAAAGAATGATTGCAAATTGTTATTTTGAGAGCAACAACTTGAGATGACTTAACCCCACCTCCACACCTGCTAGGAAATTGCACTGGTGTAACGAGGATGCTATATTGTTGGTATAAGCATGGAGAAAGCAGGGAGGGGACCCTGAACACTGAATCAGAATGAAAAGGACTTGTTTATTTTACACACACACACAAACACACACTCTCATTCTAATTGTGAAATATTGCACAACATGGGTAAATCTAGAACAAAATATACTGAGTGTACCACAAAAAGAACGGTAAATAACCCAAATGAAAAATGGGCACAGGATATGAACAGACACTTCACCAAAGAAGACATCCAGATGGCTAGCAAGCACATGAAGACATGTTCAAAATCCCTAGCTCTAAGAGAGATGTAAATCAAAACAACTATGAGATATCATCTCACCCCAGTAAGAATAGCAAAATTTAACAGAACAGCAAACAACAAATGCTGGCGAGGTTGTGGAGAAACTGGAACTCCTATTCACTGCGGGTGGGAGTGTAAAATGGTGCAACCACTATGGAAGGCTGTAGGGCGCTTTCTCAAAAAGTTGCAAATAGAAATACCAATTTGACCCAGCAATTCCACTACTGAGAATTTACCCTAAAGAAAGAAAGTATAACTGCCACCCAAGTAGATATATGTATACCCATGTTTATTGCGCAGCTTTGTTTGCAATAGCAAAGAGCTGGAAACAACCCAAGTGCCCATCAACAAACGAATGGATAGAGCAGCTCTGGTATATTTACTCAATGGAATACTATTGAAAAACAAGGAACTCATGAAATACTATTCAAAATGGGTGACCCTGGAAGACATTATGCTGAGTGAAATATTTCAGTGACAAAAGGAGAAATATTGCATAGGGCCACTGTTTTAAAAAGGGACTGACATCAGGGGTGAGGGAAGACAGAAAAGGAGGTGAGGAATGATGTATATTGTATTGAAACAGAGGAGGGAGAGATCTGTTTAAAAGGGATATATAAATGGGTATTCTTGTCATTAAAGAAGTCCAGAGTGAAGGCTGCAAAGTTGAGTGAACTTGGGGGAAGGGATTGCATAACAATGAAAGAGTTTTTTCTTTTTTCTTTGCAAGGAGAAGAGTGTTTGGGGGGGAGGAGGTGGGCAGGGAGAAAAGGACAACAGTGAATAACTAGAAATCCTAAGCCTTTGTAAACTTTCATTAAAATTAATAAATAAAAAATATGCTGAGTGACATCAGTTAGTCACAAAACGACAGTTTGGGGTTGGATCAATAATACAAAAGAGTAAGGAAAGGTTTACACAGGTAGACTTATTCTTGGATGATTAACAGGGATGAGAAGGGTGGGAGAGGAGTAAAATTAACAGATAAGATAGGTGAAGGGAAAATACATTATACTATAAGGGATTGATAATTATGTTAATCAATGCAACAGAACAAAATGTGCATGCATGACTAAATGAAAAACCAATATGATTTGTGAAGTTTCACTCAAATCAGAAGAAAAACAAAATTAAAAGTTCCATGGGACTATTAAAAATATAGTGAGTTAATGGATTAAAAATACTGCCCTTAAAAAAAAAAGACAGACTACTGTCCTACAAAAATGTTCCAGAAAATTTAACTTCTTAAATGGCATTCTTATTAACTAGATTATATAAAAATTAAAAAGTTGTTTGCTCTATTTTGCTAATGCATGAAAGTATTCCCAATGGATTCTACTCCACTGACTGGGACAATAATAAACAACTGGCCTCGGAGCAGAACACAGAACTGCAATGTTCTCCCCCCTAAGAATGCTATCATTACAACTGAAAAAAATTGGAACAAGTTCAGTAAATAAGACACTGGTGTTGTAATAGTACAAGCTACCTTGGGCTCAGCTCTGTGATGTTAAATCAGTTTTAGGAAACATACAATGAATAAAATGGCCCTGTGCCCACAGCTTAGAGTTAATGGTTCAGAGAGAGAGAAACAGAGACAGGAGGAAGAGGTAAAATGTTAACATACGGGAAATAAAATGAAGAAAACACAGAAATTCTTTGGACTATTCCGGGCTAAAAAAAAAAGTTAAAATATCTTCAAAAAGATAATGGACTCACTTTTTTCACTTTCATCACTTTTTCCTTCTATCCTGAGAGGAGATGATCTTAAGTTTTCTTGAGAACCAAAAGACGTTATGATAAAATCTTCAACATCTTTCTCCTGATCAAATAGGCAGACGTTAAGTGGTCATACAATTGATAACATCATAGAAGTATAGTTGCTAGAAAGCAGCTTTGTAAAGCCTAAATTTATCAACTCCCCACACGGAATGCACAAGAAAGAATCTAGACTAGTGCACACATCCAGGTCATGTGTTTTCAATAATCTAATTATGTAGGTTATAGTTCTTCAAACATTTTAAAATAGTCACCAGCAATTATTTGAGGCAAAAAGAATTTACATGAAGTGACAATCTATAGATACTTGAAATAACATTACATATGACTGAAATTTTTTATCTTACTCTAGATACAAGTCTTAAGATTATATGCTAGAAAAACATGAACTATAACTTAACAATAATAAATTGGTGTGCTTAAAATTAATTAGCAAATATACATTGAGTCTGTTAAAGACAAAATACTACCAACATAAACATAATAGCATATCTACACAAAGAGTCCTTATTCAGGGTAGAGCAATGCAATCTTTATTGCTATGTGGACTCAGCAGAGAAGCCGGGCAGTAAGGCCCATCCACCTCACACCTGTTTGAAGCTGATAGAAATGACCTAACTGTTCAGATTCCAGGTTGGTTTAGACCTGTAAACGGTTAACTTTCCTACACAGTGCTGATCCCAGACCTGGACTGTTCCCAAGGGCAAGTCACTACAGTGATGAGCTAACAATGTACTGCTGTGACCTGAAAGGTGCATCTTGGGGATTCTCTTGTGCCTCTGCCCATGGGAGGGATAACAGGAAAGAGCAGGGGTTCCTTACCGCAGCTGTCCTCTCTACATGGTGGTGGTCAGTGGAGAGAGGCGTGTCCACAGCAAGAGGATACCCCGCCCAGAGCAGGGCCTTGTCCTTGGCTGTGGGCACTGGATAACAAAGGAGGCCAGAGTCGTCCACCTGGAGAATTGAGGAGCTGAGGCTGTGCAGGCCTGCTGTATCTGGGCAGGGAGTCAGGGGCAGGCTAGGTGGGGGGTCCAGGCTTGAGTCCTTTCTGACAACCTCAGGGGAGCCCCAGGAGGACAGGTCTATCGCCTGCAATGTGCTCTTGAAGGGCTCTACACGTTCAGAGTTGTTCTGCAAACTAGCTTTTGAAGAAGGTGGAGAGCCTTGAAGTTCCATTTTTTCTAGAATGGGAACATTTGAGGGTTCAGCTCCTAGCAAAGCATCTGAATGTTCAGTAACTTCCATGAGGTCCCATGTGTTTCTGTGGGCATTAGACATGTCAGCAGGGGTAGATCTGTCAGTAGACTCATCACTGTGGGAAACATCATTTGAACTATTTTCCAGAGCAGGTCCTGTGTATGCCAACAGCTGTGGATTCGAGGAACCTTTTGCACCCTGGTCCTGGGCGGTCATAGAATGGACCAGATGACCCAATCTCTCCTGAAATTCTTTCACCTGAGTTAAAAGGTCTACTTTTGCCAGCTGATAATGTTCCAGTGGTTTTTCTTTACCCTGCAAGGGGAAAAAAGAACATGCATACTGAAAAATCAATCACAGGACACACCCTAAGAGAATTCATGACAAACACATCCCTTAAAATTCCCTGATATTGCTTAAGATTCCCTAATATTGAAAGTTTATATCTTTACACAAATTAAACCCTGGAACCAATGTAGAAAGCCCTGTACTTAAAAGGCAATTAAAAAACCAACCAACAAAAACCCAAAAAGGTGATTATAACATAAATCCATCTTAATTTACTAAGTACACACTTGTTTTTGGCTGAAGGGGGGAGGACAGAAAAGTTTTTAATTCCAGATAGAAGATAAAACCTTACAAAATTGGTTTACATAACAAATTTGGAATTTCCTATTCGGTGTGTAACTTTCTAACAATCTGGCAACAGTTCAAGGGGTAGGAGGGCTGAGCTTTCTCTTAAGAATGCAAACAGATGTTCTCATTACTATGGGACAGAGGAGTTCATCCATGTGGGATCTGATTTGCAACTATGTGTGATTTAGGACCAAGGCCTCACTGGCCTTTAAACCATTTCCATGTGGACCACACCCAGGAGTCTAGCTGCACCCTGTGTGGTTCCTGTGGGAAGGAGCATTGTCTGAGCAATTAAGTGATAAAAGTTGTTTAAAAGTGAACTTGAAGGAGGGTGTAGGGTGGATATCAAATCAGTCACTCTGGATTTCAAAATGTGGAGATGACCTGTGGGCCCCTTTCCCTGAAGCACAATGGGGACAGACCATTAGGGGAGGCCACAGCAGAGGGTCTGAATGGTGGTGACATACTGTGAAGACAGACCACCAACCAGGAGGTTTGAGGAGAGCACCCACAGGTGAGGGGCACATCACCACATTGGGTTCACACTACTTATCAAATGGCTTCGGTCCTGACAGCAGGAGTCAAACACCCTGAATTCATGGCTGTACTCTTTATTCTGAGAGCAGGAATAAACATATATACCAAGAAAATCTAGGATTCAGAGCCAACCCTGAAGTCTTTAAAAAACAAAATAGATGCAGGTAATGGAGGCCCTGAACATAGGTGAGGCCACACTAAAAATCCAGGTGGGAAACCCTGAGCACAGTTAAAGCTTACTCATTAGAGGGGAAAATGACTAGCTATTTTTTTTTTATTTTTATAGCTCAAGCTTTATAGAGAACAGAATAACATGTTTTCCCATATTGTTCTCAGTTCGGTAGAGCCCTGGCTCGGACTGCTCCTCTTCAATATCAATTGACGTTTCACTTTTCCATGTAGCACGCTCTCCACTGCTCTGGTTACTTGATCAGCACTGAAGCTTTTCAGAGACATTCTGCTCTTGGCCACCTGCATAGGGGGCCTAGAGCTTGGGTTGTACACAGGAGCACTCATGGATTAGGATGAGTAGGTCAGGTTTACCTTCTTCAGCTCCACATACTTTTTCTCAATGAAGTCCCTGACGCCCTGGCCGCTGACTGAGGGCTGACATAGCTGAGTGAGTCTCTTGCAAGGCTAGTTTTACCTGGCTCCATGAACTGCTGTGGCTGCTGCCATTTACACTTGTACAGAAGGCCCCAGCTATCTATTTTTTTAAGAAAACTTAGTGCTGTCGTTTGTAACATGTCAGACTGCTAACTGAAAGCTCAGTGGTTGGAATCCAGCAACTGCTCCTTGAGTGAAGGATGGGCAGTCTCCTCCCATAAATACATACAACCCTGAAAGCCTGATGGAGGGTAACCAAGATTCAACTCAATGGCAGCGGGTTTTGGTTTGGTTCACTTAATACAACTTAAAACTGACCATGACAAATGTGTGCCTCTTAGAGTACGGTAAACACCAGGTGTGGATTTCAAGGATACGCCTCACCCACAGCATCACAAGGTAGTCCAGCATGCACCTAATGATGTCTGAGACCATGCTCCCACCAGAGGGAGAGGATAAGCCTGACTGAGGGCCCTTCTTGGGGCTGCACAAAGTACCTTGCCTCGTCGTTGCAGTCTACCTCGGTGGTCCTCTCTGCTCAGGCGCACCTCATCCCGTACCAGGAGGAGCTCAGATGCCAGCTGCCTCTGGCAGTCAGTCAGTACTGACATCACACTGTCCTTTCCCAGTGGACCTGCACCTTCCAAAGCCTTAAAGCTGGAGGCTGGCTGCTGCTGGTCCTTCTCCAGGATCTGTGGTGTTGGGAGATTGAGATGTGTTAGGATTACAGCTGAGTCTGCTTGGAAGCCAACTTACAGTGGAGAGGGGACAGGGCTGTGGACAGCTTGGGCGGTCTGTAGGTCTTAGCACCCTCAGAAATGCAGATGCTACTATCGACAGGACCCCAGGTCATATTTTCCACAGGAACTTGGATGTCAGAGGATGTGGTCACCACACTGCCTTATTATCCTAAGCAAACAGAGGCCTGAGCATGGAACACCCCCAAGAGCTATGGTCCTTGAAAACATCCAGCCCCTACCCCTACAACAAGTGCCCAGTACTAAGGCCATGGCCCCACCCAGAGACCGGATGGCTGATAGTGACAGGACACAGGTGGCTCAAGGTCAATTGGAGCATGAAAACTAGAGGCTGATACAGGCTTTTATTAAAGTAAATCTGCCTATGGGGTCTGATCCAGGGACAAGCATGAAAAGACAGACCCACAACCAAGTACCAAATGGGGACAGGAAGCTTGGACACAGTGGTCTTGCCAGCAGTGACCCTTCCCATCATCTAGAAGACAAATTCCTTACAAGTGAACACTGCTCAAGAGTGGTGGCAGATTTAGTGGCAGAGACAAGACCTGCATGGAACAGAGCATTTGGCCTAGGACCCAGCACAGCCACAATCAATGGCAGCTCCACGTTAACTCCTCCAACTCACAGGCACGCACAAACAACAATGATTCCCCCAGCAACAGTGAAGAAGAAATGTTAAATTTTTTTTTAAGTAGGAGATTAAGAAAAAAATCCTAAATTTTATAGCACTCCACCCACCACACTCTAGGAAGGAATAAACTTACATGTGACTCTTGGCCGTGGGGCACTGCGGGTGTGGGCCTTCTGCCCGAGTCCCGGTCTGAATCATCACCGTGCACTGTTTCAACAGTCACCTCACTCCTGGAAGCTCTGCACCGGGCATCACCCTCCCCATGAACTGGGTGCAGGCCTGGCTCTCGCTGGCATCGCAAGAACCGCTGGCTCAGAGTCTGCAGCTGGCGGCCGAGGTGTGCACACTGTGCCTGCAGCACCTGTAGCTCTGGGGGCTCAGCTGCCTCAGTCCAAGGCTGCCGCTCCAGGGCACGCCGGAACCCAGACACAGCTGCCAGCACAGCCTTCAGCTCGGCCAGGCGGGCTGCTCTCTGCATGCTCATTGCATTGATTTCTAGCTCTTTCTCTGAAATCACTGCATCCTTTTCTTTCAGAGTACCCTCAAATTCTGCTAGGCGGGAGGCCAGTGCCTCCACTGTGGATTCCTTGAGGGCCAAACTGTGTTTCAGCCCAGCTAGCTGGCGGGCAGCAGCATCCTCGGCGGCCCGCAGGCTCTGCCCCAGTGCCTCCAAGGCCTGGCGGTGCCCGCGCTCCCGTTCCTCCAGCAATTGGCCCAGGGCTGCCTTGCCCACTAGCGCTGCTTCCAGCTCCTCTTGGAGCACCCATACATGAGGACCTGGCCCCTTAGGGTCCTTAGTGGCCACCTCATGGACATCCAGAAGCCCTTGTTCCAGCTCGGTCTGAAGGCTTTCTGCTGGACGGATGTTGAGTTCAGGGGCCATGGGTCCCCCAGAAGAGAGTTCCTTCTGCAGTCTCTCTATGACCTCATGGAGCTGCTCAATTTCCTCTGCCTTCTCTTTCTGCAGCCGAGCTTGGTTCTCTTGCAAGTTTTCAATAATGAATTTTAGCTCTTCCACTTCAGGACTTCTGTTACATACAGCCTGAGAAGAAAGCACATTGCAGAGACAAAATAAATACACTGACTTCAGAATTTCTCTCCCTAACTTGTAGTTCATGTTGCATTCAATGGAGACAATTCTGAGGCCAAAGACACAGGCAGAGCTCTAGGACCAAACAGACTGAGAGTCTTCTCTGTGACATTTTCAACAGATAAACATTAGACATTGGAAGAACACTCCAAAAAGCTGTACTCTATTTCAGGCATAACCAAGATGTCAAAATGGTCACCTCTCAGGGTGGCTGTGGCCATGTTCTGAGGCCTGACAGCACGCACTATGTTGGAGACATACGCTACCACACTGCAGGGTCTGATCTACCACAGGACGGTACTCACCTCATGTGACTATTTAAACACTATCTGATTTTCCACAAAGAGTATTTATGTTTTAGTTTGCATTCTAACACCTGAACAAGAGTAAAGGTGAAAACTTGCACTTGTCAGAATCTGGTCACCGCAGCCTCTCCCCATCCAGTCACTGGCTGCTACAGCTTAGCGCCTCTCAACACTGCTATCCTATGAAATTTTCAACAATTGTAAGGAAGCCCTCATTTTAAATATGGGAAATGTGAAAGTGAGTGATTAAACAGCTTGTCAAAATCCAAGACAGTAAGTAGAAAATCAGGATTGAAATCTGTGTCACCATGGCCTATATATTCCAGTCTCCTAAAACCACACTTCTGGTGTTGTTGTTGTTGTTATGTGCCGTCAAGTCGCTTGTGACTCATAGCGACCCTATGTACAACAGCCCTAAACTCCGCTCTGTCCTGTGCCAATTGCACTCTCTCTGACACTCCCATCCCGATTACACCAGTCACTGAATCAATCCACCTCATAGAGGGCCTTCCCCTCCTGCGCTGTCCCTCCACCCTCCCAAGCATGATGTCCCTCTCCAAGAACCGGTCTCTCCACACAACATGTCCAAAGTATGTTAGACGGAGCCTCAGAATCCTTGCCTCCAAGGAGCCACCCGGTTTAACCCTCTCCAGGACGAATCTGTTTGTTTTCCTAGCAGTCCATGGTATTCTCAATACTCTTCTCCAGCACCACAGCTCAAAGGCATCAATTCTCCTTCTATCCTCCTTGGTCATTGTCCAACTCTCTGATGCATAACAAGTGATTGCGAAGACCATGGCCTATATCAGATGCATCTTAGTCTCCAAAGTGACACCATTGCTCCTCAGTACGTTGGAGAGGTCCCTAACAGCAGACTTTCCCATGGCAATGCGCCTTCTAATTATCTGGCTGCTGGTGCCAAGAGTGTCGACTGTGGAGCCAAGCAAACTAAAGCTGTGTACAATCTCAATCTCTTCACCATCCATCCTGATGCTGCCAATTGGTCCAGTGGTGAGAATCTTTGTCTTCTTGACATTGACCCTCAATCCATATTGGAGGCTGCAGTCCTTGACGCTCTGCAGCAGATGCTTCAGGTCCTCTTCAGTTTCAGCAAGCAGGGTTGTGTCATCCGCATAACGCAGATTGTTGATAAATCGTCCACCAATCCTGACCCCACATTTCTCCTCATAGAGCCCAGCCTCCTGGATAATCTGTTCTGCATATAGGTTGAAAAGGTATGGAGATAGGACGCATCCCTGGCATACGCCCTTCCCAATTTTGAACCATGCAGTGTTCCCTTGCTCTGTTCTGACGACTGCCTCCTGGTCCAAGTATAAGTTTCTCATTAGCATGATCAAGTGTTCTGGGATTCCCATTCTTCTCAGAGTCAGCCACAGTTTGTTATGATCCACACAGTCAAACGCCTTTGCATAGTCAATGAAACACAGATAGACATTCCTCTGGTATTCTCTGCTTTCAGTCAACATCCATCTAACATCAGCTACAATATCCCTAGTACCACGACCCCTTCTAAGCCCAGCCTGGACTTCTGGTAGTTCTCTGCTGATGTGCTTCTGGTAGAGACAGAAAAAATTTAAAAAATTCTAGCTGATTTATTTTCTAGCTAACAATTTTCAACCAATTTACTGTAGTCTGATGTTTGGCTTCCTAGATATTGTTTAATCCTAACTCTGGCCTTCACTGGAACTACCTAAAAATGACACTGACTCAAACACACACCTGGCCTGCAGTAAAAGTAACAATGAGAAATTTGGCATTGGGCCTGGGGCTTGATTTGGATCCTATCAGCTGTCATCATATTTCTGTTTATCATATGTGAATGTAGTGTTACATTTTTAGCTGAACATAAAGCAAAGATGTAAAATTTGTGAGAGAAAAAAAATGGGGTTTTTAAATATAACTCAAAATGCATGATATATCTTTTAAAAAATTTAAATTCATATATCTAAGAAAGATATGCAATCAAACTATATAAGAACCAAGATTGAGCAGGAAGAACAACACAACTCTTAAAATATCAGGAAAAGACCTGAACAAAAACTTCACCAAAATATTGATGACAACTAAACAAAAGATGCTTAAATAACGGTTGTTATTACTGTTTGTTATTCTTAGGTGCTGGCAAGCCAACTACAACCCACTGTGAGCCTATGAACAATATAGACCTGAGCTCTGCTCTCTCTGTGGCATGTTTTCCAGCTCTGATATGCTCGAACTCATAGTTTCAGTCACTGTGCCAATCCAGCTTGTTGAGGGTTGTACAATGGAAACTAAAAACTACAAGGAGATTCCCCTCCCACATCTACTAAAATCCTTTGCCAGTGAGTCAACTCCATTTCACAGCAATCCCATGTATTAAAGAGTAGAACTGCTCCACAAGGGTTTCTTGGCTGTAATTTCACCAAGCCTTTCTTCAGCAACATCCACAGGTGGGCTCAAACAACCAATGTTTAGTTTAATAAACCATCAATGTTTAAGTTAGTATCAGCAAGAGCCTTATACACGTATTGTTACATGCAATAGAATTGCAACTGACAAGAAGACCATCCAGAGGGTTTTCAAAGGCTATAAATCACATGGCGATTTTCCCACCTTCCTTCTGTGGACTAGCTGGTGGATTTTAACTACCTCCCTTTGGGTGGGCAGCACCACTCTTTACCACTAAACCTTTACCCCTAGAGCTCCCTTATACACTATTAGAATGACTAAAACGAGAAAGACTGACTGCACCACAGGCTGATAAAAATATGATGAAGAGAGTTTAATGGCAACTCTCCTATGTTGTTAGTGGACAATAAACTGGAAGCATTACTTTGGAAAACAGTTTTACTGCAGTTTCTTTTAAAGTTAGATATGGCTCTTTAGCTGTCATCTTGTGCCCTTTCATATGCTGCCTAGCTCAGCTGGTCTACTAAAGATCCCCTGAGTGCCAGTCCAAGTCCCCCACAAAGCCCCACTTCCTCTCTGAAAAGACTTAAGAAATGATCATGAATCAGGAGAAACTCGCCCAACTGCAGGCAGAAGTGAGCATTGGTGCAAAAGGAACAGCACACAGAAAGAAGAAGGTGGTTCACAGATCAGCTACAGGACATGGCAAAAAACTTCAGTTCTCTTTATAAAAACTGGGGTGAACAACATCCTTGGTAGTGAAGAGGTGAACATGTGTACAAATCAAGGAACAGTGATCCACATTAATAATCTTAAAGTTCAGGCACCTCTGGCAGCAAACACGTGCACCATTACCAGCAATGCTGAGACAAAGCAGCTGACAGAATTGCCACCCAGCACCTTAAACCAGCGTGGTGCACACAGTCTGAGTAGTTTAAGAAGATTGCTGAAGCCCTGTCCAGACAGTCTGTGGACGGAAAGCACCACTTGCTAATAGAGAGGATGGCAACAATGAAGTTCCAGATCTTGTGGAGAATTTTGATGAGGCTTCCAGAAATGAGGTCAATGGATTTGAGTCAACTTCTGAAGAAAAAAAACCTTAAAGAAGTTACTTTGAGTTGCTGTTTTATATCATGACTGCTTTTTAAAACTGTTTTGTTTATGGATCTGATAAAATCTAGATCTCTAGTATTTTTGGACATTGCTGCTTTTTCAAAAGTTTCACTTAAATATAATTCATACTTTGCAACTAATTAAATAAATTTCTTTATCTAGGATTTGCTTTTAACTACTACAGTAATGATAATCTGTACACAGAAAGCAGAATCATTTCTAGAAATCCAATTCTGTCATGTAATTTGAGTAAAGTTTTAGAACAGCTTAATGTTAACAAAAAAAAAGTTAAATATGGACTTGCACATGAATTAAACTAGGTAAGCTATAGCAGCTCTATTTATGATTGTAAAACTCTAGGAAGCTCAAATGTTCCCTATAAATGTATAGACTTTATACAGCTATACAATACTGCTCAGCAATAAAATAAAATTTAAAAAACCTACTCTTATTGCCAGTGAGTGAATTCCAATCAGAGTGACCCCACAGGACAGAAAAGAGCTCCCCCACAGGGTTTTCAAGGCTGTCTTTATAGTCACCAGCTGAGTCATTTAACCATTGCACTACCAGGACTTCTCTCACAAAAGAACTATTAATTTGCATCACTCATCATCACCTCGTCAGAACTGATTCATAGCAGATTTTCAGAGGTTGCAAATCACTGAGGAGGAGACTGTTCATCTTTCTCCTTGCAGAACAGATGGTGGATTTGAACTCCTTGCCTTTAGACTGGCAATCCAACTCCCTATCAGCAGACCACCAGAGCTCCCTACTGATTGATTTACTACTTGTTGCTATTGATACAGTACCATAGATAAACTGCAAATACATTATGCTAAGTGACTTCACAGAGCATAATGGAAAAGGCAAAACTGTGGGGCTAAACAACAGGTTGGTGATAAGTAAAAAACAGGGGACTACAATGAAGCTGGAAAATGGAAAGTTTCGGAGTGATAGAACCATTCTATATCTTCATTGTGTACTTGTCAAGACTCAGACTATATTCCAAATTGTGACTTAAAAACTTAATTGTTGGATTAAAAGATAAGAAATGTCTAAAATCAATGGCTTAAGGTATAAATGTTAAGAGAAGGCACTCTGGTGGTGTAGTGTGTGGCACACTACACTGCTAACCAAAAGCCTGGCAGTTTGAACTCATAAGCCTCTCCACAGAAGAAAGGTGGGTAGCCTTCCCTGGTAAGAGTATTATAGTATTGGAACCAGCATCACTAGGAGTCAGGATCCACTAACGGCTGAGGGGTTTTTGTTTTGTTTTGAGGGATAAGGGTTTATCTAAAGAAGCTAGAAACAACAACAAAACCTAAGACAAATCAAGAGTATATAAACAGTAAAATTAAAAAAGAAATCAAACTAACAGAAAGAGAAAATGAATGCAGAAAATAGCTGGGTTCCGTTGTACACAAGGTTGTCCTGAGTAGAGTCCACTGGTGGCAACTGACAATAACAACAGAAATGAACAAAAATTTCAAAGTAAGTATTTTGGTATTCATAAAGCTTTCCATTCTTAACAAAACAGATTTCTTTTCCTTATCGCATAAACTATTTTTAACATTTATGTATTTTTGATAATAGCACATTACAAATTCTAGAGAATTAACAGATACAATCCCCTTTTAAAAAAATTATTAGTAGCTTTAACGGTATTTCTCAAAGTAACATAAAGAGATAATGAGTTTTACTTTGAAACACATGTAAGATAACAGATCACTAACATCCCCATAGCCTACTAGAAAGTGGAGAACTGTAGATGAAATAACTCATTTTTGCTCCCACATAGTCCTCCATCCTTACATCTTCCTCCAAAATGAACAAAGTAGACCTTGTGAGGTGAGTGATCATTATCATACAGAAACTCTAAAGGCTCTATGGGTTTTCAGAGGCTATGTACACACTTCTGTCCAGAATATGATGCCACACTTGTGCCATCATGCTAGAAAAGGGCCTCACCTCACTGTCCACAGATTCTCCCAACCTTCCCAGCTGTGCCTCCAACTGTTCCTTCACGGACATGATCTCTTCTTCTTTGCTTTGCAGAAATGTCTGTGAAAACAATGATACTGATGATAAAACTATCCAAGGAATATTCTGGGAAATACTCTAACAATGTATTCAAAATATACAAGTAAGCCTACAGTGTTAACACCAACCTGACACTGGATTTCTACTAAAGTGCTATCTAAAACGACATTCTTTAAAAAAAAAAGTAATAGAATTTTCTTAATTTGTTTCATAGCAATCACCAGGATTACTCAAGTACTCTTTCATCTGCTTCTTACCAATGGAACATCCATGAAACAACAACTAATTATTAAGGTGATGAAGCCTCAAACTCCCTTTTCACTAGCTGAATATATATTACAACTCATTGCAATCCTATGAAAAACAAATCTGAACCTTGTCCTATCCTATTCTATCATCATTTCTGATTATTTGAGCCCACTGTTATAGTCAATGTAGCAATTCATCTTGTTGAGGGTATTCTTCTTTTGCTTTGACCCTCCACCTTTGAATAGATGATGTTTTTTTCGAAAGATTGACCCCTCCTGACAATATATACCCAAACTATGTAAAAAGAATTTTAACTGTTTCTGCCTCTAAGGAAAAATCTGGTTGCACTTTCTGTAAGACACATACGTTTGTTCTATGGCAGTCCAGATGAGAGCGAGTACTCTTCAACAACATAACTCAAAGGTATCAATTTGTCATTCTTAGCTACTGTACAACTTTCAGATGCATAGCAAATAACTGAGATGACCATGGCTTAGATCAGGTGTGCCTGTCTTTAAACTGGCATCATTACCCCTTAACACCTTGGAAAAGCCCTTGACAGATTTTCCTAATGCAACACATCTTACTGTTTCTTAACTGCTGGTACCAAGTGTTCTTATTGTGGTTCCTAGTAAGATGAAATCATTGACAACTTCAATTTTTTTTCTCTGTCTACCATGATGCTGCCTATTGGCCGAGGGGTGAGGCTTTCTGTTATAAGGATATTGAGATGTAATCCATATTGAAGGCTGTGATCTTCTGCAGTAAGCATTTTAAGTCCTCCGTATTTTCAGCAAATGAAATTATGTAATCTGCATGAGTCTTCCTTTGATCATGATGTCACATTCTTCTTTATAAAGTCTAGCCTCTTGAATTATTTTTTTCAGCATAAATATTGAACAGGTAGAGGGAAAGCATGTAGCCAGATGCACACCCTTCTTGATTTTAAGCCATGTAGAGCTCCCTTAACTCAGTTTGGACAACACCTCTTGGTCTAGGCATACATCTCTTGCTACAGGTTTTGCATGAGCATAATTAAGTATTTGGGATTGTGTTCTTCTCAACTTCCAGCCATAATTTATTATGATTCACACAGCCAAATGTATTTGCAGAGTCAATAAAGCACAAACAGACATCCTTCTCGTATTCTCTGCTTTCAGTCAGGATCCATCTGACATCAGCAATGAACTCCCTGGTGCCATGGGCTCTTCTAAATCCAGCTTGAATTTCTTGCAGTTTTTTGCTGATGTATTATTCTGTTTTTTAATAATTTTCAACAAGATTTTACTTGCATGTAGTATCTGTGACATTGTTCGATAATTTCCACCTTTTGTTACATTATTATTTTTTGGAATGGGAACAAATATGAATCTCCTCCAGTCAGTTGGCTAGGTGACTGTCTTCCAAATTTCTTGGCATAGAATGGTGAGTGCATCCATGACTATGTTTTATGAAACATGTCAAATGGTATCCCATCAATTCCTGGAACCTTACTTTGTGCCAATACTTTCAGTGTAGCTTGAATGTCTTTCTTCACTACTACTGGCTGTTGATCATATGCTACATGGATGTGTGCCATGTCAGACAACTGTTTTTGGTACAGTAACTCTGTGGATTTTTTCCATCTTCTTTTTTTGGTTTAACTAGTTTGCATACGACCATTCACATATATTATTTGTCATTCACGTACACTGTATTTTATACCTTCACATGCGTTGTTTTTTTGTTGGTTTTTTTTTTTTTATGGTGAGGAAATTTATATTTAGAATTAGCCCGCTGGACTCAGTTTAGATGATCCCAATTTTGTTGGCAACATCCAAAGCATCATAATCAGGAGCAAGTCAAACATAGAGGCCTTCTCTCCATCAGGCCTAATCAAAGTGTTGACCTTGGTCACATCAATGTCATAGAGCTTCTTCACAGCTTGTTTAATTTGGTGCTTATTGGCCTTGACATCCACAATGAACACAAGTGTGTTGTTATCTTCTATCTTCTTCATAGCTGACTCAGTGGTCAGGGGAAATTTGATGATGGCATAGTGGTCAAGCTTGTTTCTCCTGGGGTATTTGAGCTGCCTTCTGAGTCTCAGTGTCTTAGGCCCTAGGAAGGTGGGTGAAGTGCGGATCTTTTTTTTTTTGGCTGTGGATGCCCTTCAGGACTGCCTTCTTGGCCTTTAATGCCTTTGCTTTGGCTTCCTACTTTTAAATCACAGGTACAGTATGGGTCAGATGATAGTGACATATCCTAGCATTTCTCTCAATGCTGTCATTTCATTCATGGAACCTGTGCCAAGGAGGCACCACAGCCAGTAATTTTAAACTTGTTTCATGGCCATCTTTTTAAGATGCATTTCCTTTACAACTCTGAATATTGTCTAAAATGCACAGAGATTGCTATTTTTTCTGTTTTTGCTTCAAACTCTGTCACATTAAAATAATAGAAATATTTAAAATGAGATTTTCAAAACCATGATAGTGGGATTGAGTGGCTATTTACTAAAACAAATCTGTTTTAGAAAGCCCCACCCCTATCATGGCCTCCACCAATCCTACCTCCCTAGAGTTGTGACCAATTTCCTCCTACATCATTGCCATAAAAGATATACCTTTCCTGGCATTTTAGTCCAAGAACACCACAGGTGAAAACATGGAGTATTTTGTGTAACAGCTGAGAGCAGGTGATGTTCTCTGATGGAGGGATCCTGGGTTTGCTGCTCACTATCACCATGAGCTGCCTCTCCTACACTTCGAAGACCCCACTCTACCCTGGCTACCAGCCTCAAAGCAGAGAACAGGTGAGGCTGGGGTGACCTGGCAAGTCTCCAGCAAGGGAGCTCGTCCGATTCTAGAATGACCCAAAGTTCTCTCCTTCATCAACTGTTTAGTCTGACATGCACTCAAAGAATACCCCCAAACCAACATTTCATGGATGGTCTCAAAGCTCACCTTCAAGTGGGCATTCTCCTCTTGAAGCTCCCTGAGGCTGGTGGCAGAGTGGTGGGCCTGTACATCTAATTTTAAGGTCAGATGTAGTATTTCTTCATTTTTATTTGCTAAATTATCTTTAGCTTCTTCTAGCTGTTCTTTTAAGTCCAAAACCTTTCATTGGATGAAAGAATAGAAGTATTAAATATTATCCAATATTGATTAATTTAATCATCATTAAAATGGATGCAAATATTTTAAAAGTATATGCTAAAATTACATATTACAGACAGCACACCGGGTCCTGGTTCATCATGCTCACACATGAGCCTGGGCCCCTGGGCGACAGTGCCTGGCACCCTGCACTTGCCTCTCTCTCATGCTGCAGGAGTACTTCTGGCGCCACCTCTGGCTGTGCTTCTGTATCTCGGGAAGGGACGTTTGGAGGAGGCACACGACACTTAACTTCCTCTAATTCAGTTTGCAGCGTGGACACGAGAAACAAGTGATCCATCTGCTGTTTTTTTAACAATTCTTTATCCTATTAAAAAAAATTCTTTTAAGGACGTGTTTAAGTTAGAAGTACCTCACGTTGCTGTCCTTAAGGCATATGCCGTTCTCTGCTCTTTGTACAGTCCAGCAGTTACTGCATACACTTTAACTAAATGTTCAAAAGGGAGGAAAATGTTGCATCCTGAGGAGAGAGGAGTTCAGCAATTCACTGAGTTCCTGTCTATTAAAGAATTAAAAAGGTATCACTCAAACTCAGTATCTCAGCTACAGTTTAAATCTTCACAAACAAAAACATGCACATCATAAACTTGAAACACCAAGTTTTAATTTGTAAAACTGTCATTGGAGATCTTTTGGGGTCTTATGGAACATCCTAAATGCAAAGGTTAAAGTAAGTATAATCAATTTAAAGTAAAATATTTGATGAAACAGTTGTTTTTGAAATCTGAACTGTAAAATTTATTTTGTGGTATTACTAAGGAAAATGGTGCACACCTGTGAGATGGAGGCGTGTCCCACAGGCTGTGGGGAACCCAACAAGCCTGTGAGAGGTCAGAGTGGACTGCAGCAGCCCTCACACCCAACCCTAATGCTCACTTCACAGGTGCTGGTGAAAAAGACCAGGTCCTGAACTGAGGCAGAGGATGCTCACCTGCCGTAGCTCGTCCCCAATTTTCCTCTGTATCTCCAGTTCTTCCTGGAGCTGGGTGACCCTCCTGCCAGCCTCAGCAACTGCCACCTCCAGGCGCTGGATCTCCTCCTGCTGCACTGCCAGCCGTCTGTCAGCCAACTCATTCTTCACGGCTAGCTCATTAAATCTGTCTGACTTTTCTCTTAACTTTTCTTGTAATAATTCAATCTAAAACAAAACAAAAAATATGCTTGAGACATGCACAAGATTGCTAAAACAAAAACACAAGTTTCGCACCCCCCCCCCCCCGCAAAAAAGTAAAACACACGTGGGCAGAAAAAAGACTAACCCTTGGTGTTTCCCACCAGGTATACAATGAACTTCATGACTGAGAGCACGTGAGACTTTACTAAGCTGGACATTCTCTCCTAATAAAGATGCTTGGGTGGAAGTAATAAAAAGATGCAGAACATGTCATTAAAGTAAAACGTCCTTTGGCAGGAAGCTCCAGCAGGTACAAAGCACAGAGGTTTGAGCAGTGAGCTATCACTGCCACCTTTGCTTCCACCCTCTCCAGGACCAACTGAAACCAGTTTAATACTCAAAGAAATAAGCATAAGTGCAAAGATGGGTAGAACTTTCTTCTCAATCTGATAGCTAGTAACATATGTAGGGTTTGGACTTCTGACTTGTTTGTCTCAAGGCTTTTAGGGAAGGGGAATAATGGTACTTAAATTATTAATGAGAAAATTTATCTTGAATCTATTCCGTCTGAATTGCAAAACCATCTTCAAAATAGATTTTAAACTAACGATTGAAGACTGGATGAGTTGCTGGATACTATTAAGGATATCATGCATGAAGAAAGCAAAAGGTCATTTACAAAGACAGAGGAGAAAGTAAAAACCAAATGGATGTCAGAAGAGACTAAAAATTACACTAGAGTGTTAAGAAGGCAAAACAAAGGGAAAACATGCAGAAGTAAGAGAGGTGAACAGAAGATGTCAAAGGGTATTTCGAGAAAACAAAATATTATAATGGAATGTGCAGAGAGCTAAAACTGGAGAATAAAAAGGGAAGAACTTGCTCTTCATTTCTCAAGCTGAGAGAACTGAAAAACAAACTTAAGTCTCAAGTCACAATATTCCAAGATGCTATGGACACTACATTGAATGACCCTAGAAGCATCAAAAGAAGACAGAGGGAATACACGGAATCACTCTATCAAAAAGAACTGACACCAAAAATTTTCAGAAAGAGCCATATGAACAGGAGCCAATGATCATGAAAGGGGAAGCGGAGGCTGCACAGAAAGCTTGGCTAAAAGTAAGGCCCCCACAAAAGGACAATTACTGCACAGTGCCACTGTTGTAAAATGGGACTGACATCAGGGTTGGGGAGAACCTAAGAAAAGAGGGGATAAATAATGCATACTGCATTGAAACAGATGAGGAAGAGAATCTTTTAAAAGGAATATAGGATTAGATATTATTTTCATGACAAGATTACAAAAAAAGAAATGCAAATTAAAGTGAACAGTGGACTTGGGGGGGATTGTATAACATTAAAAGATTTTTTTTCCTTCAAAGAGAAAAAAGAACTGGGGGAGAGGGGTGGGCAGGGAGGAAAATGTGCAACAATGAATGAATGAGGGAAAAATAAACGGAAAGAATATGTTGTAAAAAAATATATATGTTGCATTAAAAAAATAATTAAAAAAATTTAATAATAATTAAAAAAGTAAGGCTCCAAGAATCAATGGGATACCACCTGACTTGTTTACATTAGCAGAGGCAACCCTGCCTGGATGAGCTCATAAGTCTATGCCAAGAAAATATGGAAGACAGTTGTCTGCCCAAAGGATTGGAAGATGACCAATTTTGCTCCTATTCCCAAAAAAAATGTGATCCAACAGATTAAGTGGAAACTATCAAACAATATAATTATCACATACATGGAAAATACTGCAGAAGATCATTCAAAAAGGGCTAACACAGTACACAGATAGGGAACTGCCAGAAGTTCAAGCAGGAGTTAGAAGAGGCTGTGAAACTAGGTTATCATTGCTGATGTCAGATGGATCCTGACTAAAAGTAAGAAATACCTGAAGAATGTCTATTTATGCTTTATTGACTATGCAAAGGCATATTTGACTATGTGGATCATAACAATTTATGGCTAACATTAAGAATAAGAATCTCAGAGCACTTAATTGTGCTCATGAAAGACCTATCCCTAGACCAGGAGGCTAATGTGCAAAGAGAGCAAGGGAACACTACATGGTTTAAAACTAAGAAGAAAGTATGTCAGGGTTGTATTCATTCTCTCTCCATACCTATTCAATCTGTAGGCTGAGCAAATTAGTCAAGAAGCTGGACTCTATGAAGAGTGTGGCTTCAGAATTGGAGGGAGACTCATCAATAATCTGTGTTATGCAGATAACACAATCTTGATGCTGAAAGTGAGGATGACTTGAAGCACTTATTGCAGAAGATCAAAGACTACAACCTTCAATACGGATTGCATCTTAATGTCAAGAAAACAAAAATTCTTACCACTGGACCTATAGGCAACATCATGATAGATGGAGAAAAGATTGAACTGTCAACAACTTCATTTTACTTGGATCCACAACTAACACCCTTAGTACCAGCAGTCAGGAAATCAGGAGAGGTACTGCACCAGGAAGTCTATAGTCAGGGACCTCTCCAAATTATTAAGGAGTAATGTCAGTTTGAGGACTAAGTTGCATCTGATTCAGGCCATGGTCTTTCTGATCACTTGCTATTGATCTGAGAGCTGAACAATAAATAAGGATGACAGAATAAGGACTGATGCCTTTGAGCTGTAGCATTGGAGAAGAGCATTGAACATCCCTTTTTTTTTTTTACTTTTATAATAACCAAAAAGAGAAGTCTTGGAGAAGGTGAATCTGAGTGCTCTTTGGTGGCAAAGATGTTGAGGCTTCACCTCACATACTTCAGCATGTTGCTAAGAGGAGCTATTCCTTGGAGACAGACATGATGCTCAGAAAGGGAGATGATCATTGAAGGAGGTGGACTGACACAGTGTCTGCCACATTGGGCTGTAGTGTGTCAGAAAGTGTTAGGGTGGCACAGGATAGAAGAGAGTTCAGATTTGTTGTTCACAGAGTTGCTTTGGGTTATACTTGACTCAATGGCACCTAACAACAACAAAAATAGCATTTGGCTGTCTTACAAAAGAAAAAGGATTTTTTTTTAAAGCTGCTTACTAGTAAGGTTTCTGAGATTTGTTTCAAAATAATCATGTTGGCAAGGATATAGAGAAAAGGGTCCCTGATTCACCTGGAAAATAATTTGGTGCTGCTGTCTTACAGGTAATAGCACACAACCCAGCAACTATATGCCCAGAGAAATGCAAGTGTGAGTACACATAAACACCTGGACACAAATATTTACAGCAGCTTTATTTATAATACCTAAAACATGGCAGGCAAGCAATCAAGATGTCTTTAAAAAGCAAACGGCAAGTGAGCTCTGGTAGCCTAGTGGCAAGAAACTGTACTGCAGTTCGAATCCACTAGATGCTCTGCTGGAGAAGGAAGGACAATCTCCTCCTGTACCAGTCAGATCCTATTTGGTGGCGCGCACACACACACACACACACACACACACACACACACACACAAATGGCAAACAAAGAGCAATAGAAAGGACTGGTTTACTAATACTAATACGTAGAACTATAAATATGAAGGAGTTTCTAGAGATATATTGGGTAGGAAAAGTCAATAATACCTAAAAGTCACATACTACATGATCCCATTTATAGGGCATTCTTGAAATGATACATTGATAAACATGGCAATCAGAAGGGAGCTCTGGGGGCCTAGTGGCAAGAAGCTGAACTGCAATCCTAAAGGTGGGACAATCTCCTCCTGTGCCAGTCAGATCTGATTTGATGGTACATAACAAGAAAGAAAGGGGAAAAAAGGGCGAATAGATGAGTGTGTGTCAGATGCTGATGAAGGACGGGTTGTGATGGGAAGTAAAGCTATGAAAGGTCTCATGGGACACCCTGTGAGGACAGAATGCTCTGATTGTCACTATATCATGTCACTATCCTATATGTGATACTTAACTAAACTTTTCTGGAAAATTGGCATATCTCTATATTACTTCTTACAAGTGTATGTGAATCTGTAATTAACCCTAAATAAAAGATTGTTTTTTTTAAAAAAAATTAGTAAATTAACCAGCAACATATCTGACAATAGGAAACAGACAGTTATAGCAAAGCAAAAGGTACCCCAAACACCAAATAGGAAACAATGCTAGTCCTGGCCCAGCCACACAGCATAGGAGCAGGTGATGGAAGGTCACGGAGTGGTGGGAAGGGGGCCTCTGTTCTTACCTCTTTACTGGACTGCATACTCTGCCAATGTCATGAACATGGAAGACAAATGAGAGAAAAGGTAAGGCTTACATACATCCCAGAGCACGCCACCCCTGGCTCCCTGGCTGCAGACTTACAGGGCTGTCCGGGGCACTGGTGGCCTGGGGCCGGGCTACCTGGCGCAGCTGCTCCTCCAGCCTCTGGATCTCCTGCTGGAACTCGTCACGCTCATGCTCCCGCTCTGCAGCTTGCTCCTGTTGTGACAGCAGCTTTGTGATCATTTCCTTTCTGATGTGATGGCACAAGTCTCTGCAAGCTATCTATCCTTTGGTCAGATGTACCCCTCCACAGACCCCAAGGGGCATAACATCAGGGTTATCAGTGCCTAGGACTGCCACAGTTGTACACTTTGAAGCTCAGTACAAAGTTTTTATGTTATACAAGCATCTGCCTACTCAATATTGTGTAACACTATGTGAGCATTAAATTTGTACATTGGAGAATTGGGAATGTGACCCTCCACATATGAGGCCTCTCAAGCTGTGAGGCCCACAGACAAAGTTACACATGGAGAGAAGCCCAAGAATATATAGGATGAAGTGAAATCCAAGCCAGTACTACATAGAAGCAGGCTCCAAATTTGTACATCTAGGGTCCCAAAGGGATGCTTACAGGACATAAGAAGGGATGTGCCAAGATAGCTAGGAAAATGATGACCTGACAAGGAAATATTACAGATTGATTTTTCAGGTGCCCTAAAGATGCTTCCTTAGTCATCAGGAAAAAAATTCAAGTGATCATGAAGAAATTCAAGTAAAGAAAAATGAAGAAATTCAAGTAAAGAAAAACACATGTTCTAAAACATGGGAGGTACAGAGTCCTGTCTCATTTTTAAGAAAAAAATTTTACAGTTTTAATTTTCTTTCCATTTAAGCACAAAATTAGTTCCTGGAAGTTATAAACAGTTCACATCTTCAGCTGCTAATCAAAAGATTGGGAGTTTATGCCCATCTCTATGTCTCAGAGGAAAAAGCAGAATTCTATCCTGACTTATTGGTGTCATTATGAATTGCAGTCAACTCAATAGCAACTAATTTGCTGTAAGCAGAAAATCCCAGACTTACACTATGTGTGATAATACCCGATGGTGACATTATGTATGATTTTATTCTTTCATTTGGATCATTACAATTTCCTAAGGAACCTGTATTATTTATTTACCCAAGAAAATATTTCATAGGCTATGATACTAAACTTCCAACAGAGAAGCTTGGCTAACAACTCAGTGAATGATCGGCCTAATGCTACTGAGTGCAAAAATGACACAAAGGAAGCTACACCACGCCCTCCCCCGTCTTCCTGCCTGAGTTGTCACTGAATCACTGAAAAGCACCTGACGTGAGAATAAGAGGCATGGCAACTGAGGGGCCTACACCTTCGTGATAACAAAGTCATAAGAGGCCAAGAAACAGCCCTATGTGCAGAGGTTAAAGAGGTGCAACTAGGGAGCCTGGTGGGGACCCCATATTGGCTATACAGGGCCAACAGACTGAAGACACGATGACATGTGAGTGTAGACGGGCTAGAAAGCAATACCGTAAAGAGGTCAAAAACCTTCTCATCTGGATAAGCACCCTGTGGCTAGGCAGCCAGGCAGGCTTCCTACTGAAGAGTCTTTATTCTTAGGAAACACACATTGTGTATATGGAGGCACAGGGACGTTATTTGTCACTTACACTCTGAAGATCCAGTATGTGTATTTGAATGTACATGTACATGTGGTGCATGTGTATGCATGTGTGCTTAATCCACATCAAATCCTGAGGAAAAGCCAGCCAGAAATAGCAGCTGGCTCAGGAGCGGAATGAATTTAAGTTGCTTCCTTCTGTGAGTAGTACTCAACTCCCAACAGCAATTAACAGTAACAACTTCCTTCTACTTTCAGTAACTTGAAATTATCGCCAAAAAAAAGCTTAAAACAACCTTATTTGGAAGTAAGGTTTTTGGAAATTTTATCTGTTACACTAACAGATGAGGAAATTCTGGAGTAAGTGGCCCTTATTCCTCTGGAATGCTTAGAAGAGGAGAAGTGACGACAGACAGATGTGAAGGTACAGGCAGATTGGAATGATGTATCTAGAAAGCTTAGTATGACTGACAACCCCACAAGCTGAGGAGGAGTATGCAACAACTTCTCCCTCAGCACCTCAGTAGGATCAACAAGGCTAACATTCTTATCCCAAACTCCCAACCCCTAGGAGGAGAAAATATACTTCTATTCTATAACCTCAACACATCCCCTCAACACACAGACACACACAGAAATGTGTCTACTTTGATCTACAATATATGACAGTCCAGGGCCTTAAGAGGAAAAATCACCAAGGTGTTTTCCTGTGGCAATCTGCAGTGGGACGAAGGCTCTTACATCCATGAACTGCCGCTGGCTGCGCAGGTGCTTGTCCAGAGAAGCCATCTGCTGCTTCAGGGCAGCAACCTCCTCCACGTGCTGTGCACACGCCTGGTGCTGGGACACTTGTTCCTCTAACTCGGACTCCAGGACCCGCAGCTGGGACAGAAGAGCAGCTTGGTCCTTCTCAGACTGTTTCCTAGTCTCCAACTGCTCCTTTGTTAGACATTCCACCTCTTTCTGGAGACCTAGAGGACAAAGAACATCAACATGGAAGAAACTGGCCATAACGCAAACTATTTTCCAGACAAAACCAGCACAGCCCACTCATTGCCTAAAAGACAGACAGACTCTAGTCCAAGATCACCTGTAAGCACCAGGACAGACACAAAGATGGACGGACTCTACCACACAGGAATGACTTAGAAATAAGACAGACTTCACTGAAAGGGGCTGATAATTACAAAGACAGATGGACTGACTTCAACCTGGAGAGACACCCAATGTGGAAACCGACTTCACCATACAGGGCTACCTGGTGACTGCTGAGACTGACATGGAAACAGACAGACTCTATCAAGCAGGCTGCTGTGGAGACACAATCCACTGTACAAGGCTGGAATTTACTTCCAGGACCAACATGGAGACACTACTGTGTGGGGTTCATGGACACTGCTAGAATGGATGGGGAGACAGGAGATTCCACCTCATAGGATTACTCACAACTGATGAGGGGGACCCAATGGATTCCCTGCACAGTGGACCCAGATGCAGCTGATGGGAGGCTGCTACAATTTCAGCAAAACTGCATCTTGTCTCCTTTGCAATAAAGCATCAAGGCCTGACCATGGAGGTGAATATAAGGGTACATGAAAGTTCCAAATCACCCCACAGAGATGGTGCCTGGCCCCTTCTCCTTCCTCCTGGTGAATATGCAAATAGGGTACTGCATGTGTAAGACGGGGAATCGCTATCTGTGCCAGAGGCCAAGTCTGCATCCAACTGACCCATCTACCTTTTCCAAACATCTACTAGAAGTAAACACAAATTACTCTTGTTAAAAAATTATATCTTCTAAACAAAAAAGGCCTAAACTGAAGTACACAGTCTGAGAACACATCTGTGACCTGCACTCCCAGACAACCATTCTCAGAAGTGATGCCTTCACATATTCTCCACTAGGAAAAAGAGTTCCTGTGGACCAAAAAGCATCGTTTGGTGAGGGCCTGTGGAAAATGCCTGCAGCAAATCTGCTCACAATAAATGCACTCTCTAGGTGGCCAAGGCGGCAATAATAACTTGGAGGAAAAGTGCAAGGGCTTTTAGTAAGCAAAAGCCAATCTAACATTTATTGGGTGATGAGTCACCTCAGGTATATGAGCTTATGGGCAAACATGGATAAAATTCAATCCAAAAGGAAACCAGAACCCCAGTCCACTTTCACCAAAGCATGCATTTTAAATAAAAATATTTTAAATAAAGCATATTTTTTGTGGGGGGGGGGAGGGGAGGAAACCATAAACTAGTAAGTCTCTGCAGTGAAACCTGTGAGAGCCAGAACTGAATGGGACTGCTTTTGTTTTTCTGGGCTTCAGAGAGTGTCCTGCCTTTGAGAGGAGTATAGTCTTACCACTTTCTACTGCTTATTTCAGTGGAATGTAAGTATTTGAGATTTTCTTTTCTGACAGGTTGATGCCTTATACAGAGAGGTTCCAGTTCACAAGTTTTACTTATGAAATAAAACACCAAATTCCTAAGTCTTAATTTGTATTTCACCAGCTCTCAAGACTAATTTTGGTTTGTAAAAATGTATATAAACCATAGCAAGGAGTTGGAAACAACCTAAATGCCCATCAACAAACGAATGGGTAGAGAAGCTGTGGTATATTCGCACAATGGAATACTATGCTGCATTGAA